GATAATGAGACATACAAAATTGACTTAGAGTGACTAATGTGGACAAATAGTAAGACGAACCGAAAAGAAAAGTTGTGGTTGGCAACGCTGAAAAAAATCTAAAATAATGTCATAATGTTATTCTAGTTACGTCCCACAATAGGGATTTAAGTTTGATTAGGCTGTTCGTACACCAACTTCTGATTTTCAAGGTTACTAATTCTATACTGCCTGATCATTTAGGACCGTTTTTATTGGCAACAGATTTAAAAGTATTTTTCTTAATAATTGCTTACACTGCAACTGGATACTGTTTTGTTTGACAGATACAACCCCTCAAGATTGTTAAATTGTTATTAATCACAAGCATACTCCAGTGGTTTACTTTAAAAATTAAAGTCAGGATTGCCAACAGTCATACTTTCTTGATCACTTTGTAGTTTGCGTACATATTAGTTAGAATATTAAAAAATTAGTTATGTGAACATAACAGCAAGTTTCTGTCGCCAAAAATTACAATATGCACTTTCTTTAGCCATCTTTTAAAATTAAATTAACATACAATCTAATTTTTCTTTTACATATCCATTATTCTAAGAACAACCGTGATATTTTACATAATGAGTAAGACATTTTTCGAATTTTCCTAGTAAAATTTCGATATGTTGTTCAAAATTTAGACCATTTCCCTTGGCAACCACGTAAAGTGATATACAAAGTAGTTTTTTAATCATTTGTGAAGGTTATACAGAACCCAAATACATTTTTAAAATAAATTTGGATATCCCTGAGATTAGTGGGTATAATTTCAAGGGTGTACAAATTTTATTTCATATTGTAATATTGGTAAAAGAAATCAATAAAACTGTTTAAATGTTTAAAAATAATTGTACTGTAATGTGCTTTTTATGATAAAAAGGCTTAAATAATAGTAAAAACGTTCCATAACTCGTAATCGCTGTTAAACGTGTCTTTTATTGTAAATGGCCTTTGCAATAGCCATTATCTATAACTTAAAATAAAAATATTGGTGAAAAATTCTCAAAACCCACCACAACCGCTTCCATGTTTGATATCTCTTCACAATTATAATTTTGGTCTTGATGTCGAAATCTTGAAATTTTTTTCTTGAAGGTTTAGGAAATAGACTTTGTTGGAGGTCCGCCTAAATAAGGATGTCTCCATTTTCGGAACAAGTTTTTAAAGCAAGTCCTTAGAAGTTTAATTGAATTAAGTATGTCTTGTGACGGATCTCGTCAACAACTTTTCTTCCATTTAGAACTGATTGAAGTATTTTTTCGAGTGTCATTATGCAAATTTTAGTAAATTTTCGTATTTCCACTGGCAAAATAATCCCAATTATGCATAGCACAAGGTCTTGCCCGACTGTGAGTGACATTTAAAAATTTAAATTTCGTGACTAGCTCAAAATTATTATCTAACTTATCGCATTTTAATCAACTATCACGCTTTTTCGGCTTTTGTTTACTTGAAACGTTAGTCAAAAAATTATCACTAAAGGTCAAGGAAAATTGTCAATTCCCATTCAAATCATACATTGTTTTCGTTATTTTTTTTTCCAACCGGCTGAACACATCTGTTCATTGTAGTTCACTTCCTGTATCGTCGTCGTCTAGTCGACTGGTACGCAATGTTACCAACATCACCACCCCAAGGCATCAAACGATGCCCCTTTTCGGGCGCCAATCGATTCAACCCCAAAAACTACTTTCGTCGGTGAAATTGCCACGTTGCCACATCTGCAACCGACGCCGTCTTGATCGTCCGATTTCGTAAAAACAACAACTCAACGATTATTTCTATATTTATATCAAGAGGAATGTTCCATGCGGCGTTAGATTCAATTATTGTCAAACAATACGGTTTTGTATCCGAGACGATGTTTTCACATCGCGTAATAGCGATGAGTCAGCAGCCATATTACTGGACAACGTTGAGCGCCTTGCAAAAACAAGTGCCACCAACATCCACGTCCATTCACCTAAGTCACGTAGGCCATGAACAATCGTGTTTCAGATAGATTCAAACAGGCCACGAATTAATTCCATTTTTTTTTTCAAATACATCATTTCATATTGTCAGTGCAACGAAATTACCGCTTCGATTTTGTTTTTTTAACCTTGGAAAGTTGAGGACGTGGAAATAATAATGTTCAATTGTTTTGGTTCCGTGTGAACAACTACCAACATGTCACTCCATATGACGAGAAATTTTCAAAAACAAGCAAATAGCGTTTATTAACTGAGAAACTACTAAGTAGTTGTTATCGCAATAGGGGTCCAAAAGCTACTCTGATTATTATGATTTTTATATTAGCCTTGAAGAAATTCCAATGTTCTTTTGTTGTAAACATAACCAAAGTCTCTTGACGCATACACCTGTCTAATTTCACCCTATTTACGCTCATTATTAGTAATTTAAATGTTATTTTTATGACATTACAAGTTGTTTTCGTGTCATGTTGTCTTATTTCTCTGGATATCTTGATTTTGAGAAACTTTTTCTGACTTTTGAAAATCATGGAATAAAAAGACAAACTCTGAAATTTAAAAAGTTTACTTTTGAAGATTTTTTCAATAACAAGCCATAAGTAGGCTTTGCGTTGTTATGACAGAAACCAAAAAAAACATTCTCAAATTCTGCGAACTAGCTATTAAACGTTGATTTAGCCTCATTTCAGCACTGTAAATATTGCCAACTGAACAAAATAAAACTCTATTGAGTAATTTACTAATGGAAGGGAGACCTTGACTTTGTTGATAGAATTAGTGTTATCGACCATTTTGCGTACAATTATGTAAATGTATGTACAAAACTAATAATGAAGGTCAAAAAAATAGTGATGACTAGTCGAAAAAGTTTTGAAAGCAGTTAATTGGCCACATTGAATAGGAAAATGCATGTGTATGGAACCAATTTAGACGTGATTCAATCTCACAAAATATCATCCAATCAGCGTTGGTTCTTTCCTAACAAACCAAAGTTTAGGTCAGTTAGATTAGAGGTGAATAAGATTTGTTCAGTCGCCAAGAATGTGAGTCGCAGTTTATTGTAAATAAATTTGGACTGTTGTAGTTACAGTTGGAAGTGTTACACGTCCATAAAGCTATCTTTCATCTCTCCAACTGGCAAATTCCAGTTATGTGTGCCCTCCTTAGCTGCATAATTTCGTAATTTAGCATTCGAATAGTCGGTTTCCTGCACAAACTCATTGCTTTTTATCTTTAGAGTTTGAATTAGAGGTGAGCGCGGTGATCCGCCCCGAAATTCATCACTGTAACAAATCTAAAATTTATGCAAATACACGATTTTGTAGACATCAGTGCGATTTTCTTCGTTTCGGTATAACGCACACACCTCTACGGCAGGTTTTGTTGTTTCTCATTATAAATCAACAAGAGTGCCGTGACGTCATTGCGACTTAGGCAACATCGCACAATCAACCAGTCGAATAATCAATAACATTGGCTGTGGACCGACTTTCGAACGAATTGGTCGACTATTTGGCCTGTCTAAAGTAGCATACCCAGTTATAAGATGTAGTAATATGAGTCCAGTTTCACAGAAAGCAGTTTTGATTGCAATAATTCAATTATCTTCGATCGGCTTTTGTTTTGACACATAAGTGCACAGCCAGCTAGCCGTCTTGATATCGATTGAATTTTAAAACAAAATGGCAGGTGTATTCCACCTGTGAGGGTGGATTATTTTCGTGTTACAAAACGAACCGTCGGAGAAAAAGAAACTAAACACCTTTTCTGTCTGACTGTCCTATAATACCATCCAATCGTTCGGCACGCTATTGGCCATGAGTTGATGTTTTTCATTATGACTGTACAGTTGTCCGACTGGAATGATACAATGATACCAATGGAAAGCTGGAGTGTGCGTAAATGTGGCAACAGCGTCGAGGGGAACGAGACGTGAGGGAAATCTGGGGCTCTGGAAGCGTTATTGTCGCTTCACACGGCCGACCTAGGAAAAATCGATCAAACCACCCGACAATTTTCGTTTTTCTCTTCTCATTAATCCGTTTTATCGAAATTGGTGATGGCAGACTGACGTTTTTTCACTTTTTTTTTTAATTACCAACTTACTCGGCCCAAAATCCCGTAATCACGTATTGTTCACTCACATCGAAATTAAAATACACCAAAAATCCTCTAATCCGTGCGCTCTGTGAGTTTTATTTTGCCAAGTTTTGCAATTTTTACACTAATACGAGACATCGGTGTGACATTAGCCACACCCTGTCTACTATGATAGTCATTGTCTTTATTAAAATCCCTCCAGATTTATATCCAGCATGCTTAAGAAGAAAAAAAAAACACAAAATAACACTTCACTGTAATCCTGTAAATATGTTTTTTTTCAATGGGAAGGCTCTTAGAGAGTGAGTATTGTCCGTTCAAAGAGAAATCAAGCTGAAATGGTGACCCGGCCGCTGCATCAAACAGTTTTGTTTTGCGGTCGGTTGGCACGCCTGCGCTGTAACTACACAGCCAACTCAGCACCAGTGGCAGGGCAAAGTTATTTAGAGCGAATGGAAAAAACACGTCGGATTATTCTTATCTCTGTCGACTCGGTTGGGCTGTTCTATCGATTGCTGCTTCCGAAAACATTAACGAAAAGTTTTACGTAATGCGTAATTTGTTGGCGCCCCTGCAATTCTCAGATTTTTTAACATTAACCACGGGGATTCACAATTTCTTTTGAGTATTGCCAACGTAAAATCTTCGTTATTCACTAGCTCATACCCAACTACTACTATAAAATGAGTGCTTTAATAGTTTCAATCTTTTCGTGTTTTGAAGTTATCTTTGGCATTCTGCCACGCTCGAGAGCCTCTAATGACATGCAAACATTTATCTAGTTTCTTGTTGTTGTATTTTTCGTCCTTGGTGTTGTGTTACTTATAGTATAATTGCTTGTCTAATTACACTGAAAACACATTACGAATCGATTTTGCTTAACATAAATTTGGTTGTTGTGTGTTTCAGGTATGGCCGCGTGCAGAGTGTCAAATTGTTGTCGAGGGGCGCCAAGGAGGAGACGGGCGAGGGCGCGATGGCGTGTACGGTGGCGTTCATGGACATCAAAAGTGCGTCCAAAGCCCACAATGCCGAACATAAAATCGACGATAGAACTCTGACCACGGAGTACTACGAACCTGCTGCCATTCCGTCCGCTGCTTCACCGCAGAACACGCCCTCCTCGTATTCTACCTCTCCGGGTAGCAACAGATTTCCCAACGGCCATGGGTGGGTATTCACTTTACTTACCCAATCTTACATCAATTAATGCTTTGGGGCCAACCTTCATGGACTTGAGTCTATTGACTATGGAAAATGCCCTTTCTCTTCTTTTTCAACATTTTTCTCTCAAATTCTGTGAGAGTTAAAAAGAAAATAATAAAACTCAAATTAGTGCTATAATTTAGCACTCAGGCTGTTTTATTAGAAAGAGTTGCTTATGGTTTTATCCTAGAATAGATTGAACTTTTTATAGGATGAAAATCACCAAAAGCAAACACAATTTTTGCTTCTTCCAAAACAACCTTTTATTGTTTTGTCTTGGTGATTTCTATACTACACAGTTTAACGATTTGGTGAAAACTTTTCTAAAAATTCTAATTACTAATGATACAATGTTTTTTTAATTATTGATTATAGTAAATTATGTCATAAATGATAACACTATTTTTTTTTTTTGTATTTTTTTTTAACATTTTGCACGTTTTTTTAGCCATGCAGAAACTTAAATGCCAAATTTTCTCAAAAATCGTATGTTATTTTTGCACTTTTAGAGTATTTCAACTCGTTTTTAAAATACGTTCAAATTTTTGCTAAAACTGACTGAAAAATTACCAAATTAGATTTAAATTTATATCATTTTAGCATGTCTTTATTTTTGAGTGAAATTTTGTCAAAAAAAAATACAAAATATAGCCGAAAATGGTGTTACTTGCACGATTTTGCTGAAACAAACCAAAAAAACATCAAATTAAGTCATTGTTTTTGCCTTTATCAAGCATGTTTTTCAAATAAAAACATAAATATCGGGTGACTGTAAATGATTTGGTGTCAAATTTAAAATTTAATTTGGCAATCTTGAATTTCAAATTTAAACGTCAAACTTGTGTAGACAATTGTCATTCATTTGCGACGGGCGACTGCTGATTTAGCCGTCATTTGAAACATTTTAATATAACAAATTTAGAATAATTCAGTGTTGCCAATATATTTTTTTGTCACAAACATTATTATAATAGTTACCTGGTATTTCTCATAATTTCATTAAAAACTAGCTAAATTATAGAATTCGACTAAATAAAATAGTGTTATTTTTGCGTTTAAGCATGTTTTTGGGCAGATTTGCGAGATTTATGTAAAAAAATGAAATCATATAAGCTCATATCTGGTGAATTTATTTAATTGTTTTGAGCTGGCAACAGAAATTTTGCCTATTTTAATGTGTTTCCGATCAATTTTCTCTTAGAAAACTTATAGCAAGAGTGTTTTAACTAAAACTAAAAAAAAATGTTTTTTTATTATGTCCATAAAATAGGTTAATAATTATGCAAATAAAGTAAGCCTTTTATAGTTGACATGACTTAACATTCGAGTACTTTGAAAAGTGCTTATTACAACGTCTCGAATATCCCAAAGCAGGAAAATTTGAATTCCAAATTCTCTTAATTATATAATTCGTGATTATTTATTACGTATAATTACAACTTGACGAAAATACTTGTATTATCAATGATTCCATTGTCTGGGGAGCGTCGCTCGTAAAATAATTTATTAATGAAAAAACAAGGCGCTAATATCATCAACAATTCACTGTGGATTTCCCCCTAATGCACATTTTAAATAATTATTATACATCAACCGCATTAAAAGCATTAATGGCGATGGGGTGGTAATTTCGCTTTTATCAATATTACAATCGCCAAACTAGAGTGGTTTTTTTCTCTATTGCGTACATAAATTTTAATAAATCGTCGCCACAATTATGTTCAGACTTTGATGAAGGAAAGGTGTGTCCAAGGTGCGACTGTCTACTACACGTTGTATTTATTTGCATAGACAAAGAAAATGCGAAAAGCTCTCCCGACAACAACTGTCACGTCATGTCCATGTAATCAGTGGAGTGGTTAGGAGATAATTAAATGGAATGGTTTTTCAACCACTCCCATCCAATTAGTGTGGATCTTTGATGTGGCAAAAGTGGGATTTTCATCTAGTTTGACCGAAATCACCGTGACCTTAGATGTGTGATAAATCCCAACGTCGTCGTGTTGTTTTTATTGTTTGGTTGAATTAAAACCGTTAAAGTTAACAGTTAACCAAGCGATCGACTTTTAAGAAACGCTAACGTGAAATGCTAATTGCCTTTTGCCATTTTTATCGAACTGAAACAACACTTGTTGTGTGGTGTTGTTTTCACGATGAATAATTTAAATGTGGCACGACGCGATGTCGCCCTTTCGTGTATTATTACAAAATTTCTGGTAAATAAGCACGGTGTTGCCCTTTAACATCGAGGTTATCACGATTAGTAGGCGATTAAAGGAAAAGCCTGACTCAATGAGAAAATGGAGACTAACCTTGCTGTTTTTCAAAAAAAAAACAAACAAACAAAAAACTTGCCTTGCTGTGCTATTTATTGCTATTGTATTTATTTCACAATTTTTCCTCCAGTTTTTCCTCCCATATTTGGGAAACCTCCCGGATTAGCTGGAACTCCCTGGGTCGGAATTTGAGGCATGCGTGGGGGTTGTTGGGCCATTGCCGCACCTCCAACCTAAAAAAAAATATCCAAAAAACAATTTCAACAAATAAAACTTACCAAAAATATGAAAAGTGCGAGAAGTAGAATGCGTACAAACTTTGCCATTTTTGTGGGAAATTTTGGCTCAGGTATTGTTATATAGCCACTCACAAGGGCAATTTTAATTTTTTAATTAGCTAATTACCGAAAATGACACAATTAAGCGTAATTATGATTATTAATTTTTAACGCATCATGCCTTTAATTGAATTTTGAAAATTTCACACGCATATCTGACCGGAAAATTGTCATTTCGTGGACAATTTTTTTATTTTCAATTTATCAGCGAAATATTTGACACGATAACTAAACCAATATTTTATCGGAATTTTTGATACTTTATCAGCACGTTATTTAACCGATAAAATTGTTGTCTAGTTTATTTCGTAGTGTGTTTGAATTTTTCGAATTGTTGGTAAGTTCTATAAGAATATTTAATGAAAGAAAGGTGGAACTAGAAACGATAATTGAGGGTTAAAAAGAGGATTTTTGTGTTACTTTGACTCTCACCAACAATTAAATAAGTTGTTTCGTTCTAATTAATGCGTGTGTGTACAACTACTGATTTGAGTCGTAAAATGAAACGTAAAATTATGATAACAGCGGATGTGACGTTTAAAGTGTAGGAAAAATTACTGTTTATTAGTTTTACTATCTAATTTATTATTTTTATTTTCAAAAACGCTTCTGTGTTCTGTTCACAGTGCGGAGATAAATTTAGGTAGAATAATAGAAACAATCTGGCAAAAAAAGTGATGTGCAGTATTGACCATTTCACCACTCAAATTTTAATAACATGAATAGAAAAAAAAATAAAATGTTTCAAAACTTTGTTTTTGTTTTATTTCTAGTACGTTTTCTTTCTACACAAGTAAATAAATATTACCGTTATTACGACTGGTTGATCTTGTTTAATAATTCAAAACAACTCGACGTTATTTTAATTTTAAATCAATCATGTGTATTAGTATAAATTGGAAGCTTGCAGATAAATTCAATTAGCTGTATTGATTTTGCGAAATATTAATTTATTGAAATGAGATTTTTACAAAACGACGGAAATTACGTTTTATCTACAGTATGTTCCCGGATTGAGTTTAAAAGAGGAAAAAAAAATTATCTTTGATTTTATTTTTTGCTTCATCTAAAACGAGCAAATCTATAATTAAAACTTCATTATTCTGACTCAGAGGAAAGAAAAGTTTATTTTTATGTTAATTTTGGACTTAATTATTCTCTGCTGTTTAAATCTCATCACATCGGCGTTTTTAATTTTTTTTGACAATTAATTAATTAATTAATTAATTAATTGAATTATGGTTGTATTTTTATTGTATTTTTTTTTTATCTTAAAGCTGTTTGTTTTCCCACTAAGTCAGAATAATAAAGTTTTAATTACACCAGGTGAACAAAAAGTATGGAACCAAACGTTTTTTGCTGAATGATGAATGATAAAGTTGTATAAAAATGTGGTTTTATCAAAAAAAAAATTTTTCGAAATTTTCTTTGGTTTTTGAGTTCTACAGAAAATTTTTTTTTTAATGGCAACCCACTATAAAACCATTTTTCTCATGAAAGTTATGATCTAAGGATTAAAACTAATCTACTTTATATTTATTTTTTTTTACATAAATTGCAATTTTGATATAAAAAAAAAAAATTTCGTTCTCACATCGATCACATTTTTTATATTTCTTTAATTCATATTAATTATTATTTTCTGATAGCAAATGATTAAAAAAAAACGCTTGATTCCATTAATTATATTCATCCTGTATATTTCCTTGTTTCAGGAGAAGCAAAAAATGTTTTTCCGTTGCAATTTTTTTTTCCTCTTGTAAACTGAATCCGGGGACATACTGTATAGTCTGTTCCATAATGATTTATCAATACTTTGGTGGTAGAAAGAATATCGTAATTTAGTTGAAATATGTTGTTTTTGCATTGTAGGTCGACAGAAGAACATGCGAATTTCGGCGACCGCTTCTACGAGAGACCCAATAACAGGGTAACCGAAGGTGAATTTATCCGTCGAACGAACTACCATGATAATTGTAGGGGACGCAACAGGGAACGAAGTTATAGAAATGGTCCCTACAATGCAATCATGGATCGATCTCATAGGACACTCAATAATACATGGTCATCATCGTATGACACGACGACAAGGTACAATAGTAGTCAAAATGAAACAGGGTATGTATCAACACCTTCGGATACCAACGAGAGGCGGTCGTCCGAACAAACAAGTACAAAGAAAAAAACTAAATCAAGATCGGGAAGTCGGTCACCGTCACCATCGGGGAGCACATCCAGTAGATCACCATCCAGGTAAATACAACCCACAACTAAGTCAATTCCACCCCAATTGACCTGTTATTTTTTTTCTCTCTTACAGATCTCGTTCGCGGAGCAGCAGCAGCTCGTCGACGTCATCCACCTCGCACGACACTTCCTCGAGCAGCGAAAAACGTCCCGTGGCCATCCGTGTAAAGAACTTGCCTCCTCGTTCTTCGGACACATCATTGAAAGACGGCCTTTTTCACGAGTACAAAAAACACGGTAAAGTGACGTGGGTGAAAGTCGTAGGACAGGGTGCCGATCGTTATGCCATCGTCTGTTTTAAAAAGCCAGAAGATGTGGAAAAAGCCCTGGAGGTCAGCTACGATAAACTCTTCTTTGGATGTAAAATCGAAGTGGAGCCTTATCAAGGATACGACGTCGAAGACAACGATCTACGACCTTACGAGGCCGAAATCGATGAGTTTCATCCAAAGGCAACTAGGACGCTCTTTATCGGTAACTTGGAAAAGGACGTTACCGCTTCTGATCTCAGGAAACACTTTGACCTCTTCGGCGAAATCATTGAAATTGATATCAAGAAACAGGGGGCTGTGGGTTCGTACGCGTTCTGTCAATATTCGGACATCGTGAGTGTAGTGAAAGCTATAAGGGCCATGGATGGTGAACATTTAGGGAATAATCGGATTAAGTTGGGATTTGGGAAATCGATGCCGACGAATTGTGTGTGGGTTGATGGTGTGCTTGATTGCAACGAAAAGTACCTGAGGATACAGTTTGAGCCGTTCGGAGCGATTAGTAAAGTGCACGTGGATAGGGACAAGGGACAAGCGTTGGTGTTTTATGAGCAAGTGGTGGGGGCACAATTAGCCGTTAATAAAATGCGGGGGTTTAATTTAAAAGGGAACAAAATACAAGTGGATTTTGCTAGTAGGGAATGTCAGGAGTCGTTCTTCGAACATTTGGAGAAACAAGGTGTACCCATGGACAGGACGGGATTCGAAGAAAGGAGGGATTCAGTCTCGAGAACGTTCGACTCTTCCACCAACAGATTTGCAAGGTACAAAAATCATGAAACGGCTGAAAAATCAACAGTCGAAATGAGAAACACCATCTTTACCGAAAATTAAATAAGGCAAACATTTAGATTAAGAAAGTCAAAATATCCGTATTTTGAGCTTTGAATTGGCTGAAATGTTTAACAATTCGCTCTCATGTTTCTTTGTTTGTCTTTTTTTCAGTTATAAAATCTGAAACTAAATATTTATGACTATTTTATCGTTCCTTATTCCATTTACAACCTATCGACGTGTTGTCGACCTTTGAAACATAATTTTGTTTCTAACTGTATTTTATGCATAACAGTCTTACTCCACAACCTGTTCTAAACCTATAAAACGCTTACATCATTGCAGGACTCTTCTACTTTATTAATTTTTAATTTAACTTTGGTTGGAATTTGTTTTATCTTTCTGTAACACTTATCAATCAATGACTTTAATAATAAATCAAAACACCAAACAAGATTATAAAGTTAGTTTCCTTAATACCTTGTTTGGAAGTCACTGTAATCGCGCTCTTAATTCTTCACCTAAGGCCTTCGTCGTAATTTGCCTTTCATTTTATAATTTATTCACAAAGTTGACCGTTTTCATGTTTTCTTTCATTGTTTCGATATTTAACAACCAGAACAAAGACTTTATTAACACAAACACATCAAGTTAGTCGCATTTGAGAGATTATTCAGTTTATCTAAAAAAAATATTTTTTGATAAATTATTATTATTAGTGTAGGCACACACGCATTGTTCGAAAGCGAAAGTGCAAGACGAATTCGTAGGTGTTGAAAAAAATTCCTTATTTATAGAATTGTCAATGCCAACTAGATTACCATATGAGCAAGGATTTTAAATAAAAATAAATAATTCAAAGTTGGTACAAAAATTTCATAAACGCACTTTGTAATTTTATCCAGGATATGGAACATTTAATAACAAATAATTACAACTCACATCAAGGATGTATACAAGATTTTAATTATAATCATTAACATAGCACAAATTGAGACAAGAGAGGAAGAACGCAAAGTTACATTTTCGTGTTTTAATGGCCGTTTTCAATACTTTTTTTTGTTTGTTTCAGATATGAGACCCCCACTCGACCCCGCACTGCCTCTTACAGCAGCCGCTCTAGTGTGGCACCTCCCAGTCAACCCTCCGCTATCCCTTCGCCCGGAACTCCGGGTTCGGTAACTCCACGGGGGACCGGTTCCCGTTCCCGTCTCCGGTTTCCCGACTACTACGACCAAACTGGAGAATACGGCCCGGAACGCCACTTCCGGAACTACGACGAGTATAGTCAAGGCTCCGGAGCGTCTCATGAAGACGGCTACGAACATGAATACCCCTACACCAGTCCCTCAAATGTGGAAACACTACCACCTATTGTCAACGATCATTCCGGTACTCAATTCGTTCAACCCGAACTTAGAAATTTACAAAAAGAACGAGTTCATCTATTGGAACAACTTGAAGAGTGTCCTAGTTCCGGTGACGAGCTAATAAGTCCGAAAAAACGCCTCAAATTAGACTTGGTTGAAAATTCGGTACCTAGTGATGTGATCATTGAAGCGAATCGCGATCACCGAAAAGTGATGGAAGTGAGGAGGTTATCCGATCCGAATTTAAAACATCATCGACGACCATCAGTAGATAACAAACATTTAGGACACGACCGATATCTCCCACACGCCATTTGCAAAAGGAGAAAAACGGCAGGAAGTGACTCCTCAAGGACTCACCATTACGACCATTCCGGTTCGGAAAGTGTCGGAGGTTCACGACCGGGGACTCCCTTAGTCGACGAACGACCCGAACACTTTCCAAGTGAACCACGACGCGTCCCGAGAGAACGCGAAGGACCCCTCACACTCCCTCTACCTCGATTCGCCGCTCAAGTGATGAATCGCGGAAGCGTCTCAATTGCAGGAATTAAAGGCCAGAAAGACACTATTCTATCTAGTCCACCACCCGTTACTAGCCCCCGCATTTCAAACCCTAAACCTCCTAGTCCAGTCCCGGTACCACCACCGGCATCGCCACCCCCACGACCTCCAAGTCTCAGTTCCAATTCGAGCGATAGTAGTGACATTACGCCACCAAGTCCGTCACTTGACGAACGAATACGATCACTAGTCGAAAAATACGAAAAGTGGTCCGGGAGTCGTGCACTAAGTGCTGCAGGAGGCGAAGCATTAGCCAAGTTGGATGCTACAAGAGAAAAGTTTAGATCGAGACATAAATTACTCGATTTGGATTTGAAGGAAGTCCAACCAAGTGAGATCGTCAAATCTGTGATGGCAAAAAGAAGTGTCTTTGATGAAGATTTAAAAAGGTTAGAGAATGTTGGGGAGAAATATGAACCGAAGGATTTTAGTGCATTTCCAAGAGTTACAACAAGTGTCCACATTTCAATACCAACACTACCACCAACTGTACCTACAGCAACTCAACTACCTAAAACACCTACAATGCTATCACCGAGGTCTACTGGTAAGTCAAAACAATTGATGGTGAAAATATAGATTTCTGTTGTTATTGTAACACAGGTAGTACCAACGTGACGGCAGCCAAAGGTCTCCAGTACCCGTTCCCGAGCCACCCTCCAAGTCTCACCCCCACCACTCCAACGTCAACAGCAGCACCCTCACCGGCATCGACGACAAGTACAATAACCAGGGGCACCAACCACGGTGATACCAGACTGAAACCGTGCACGAGTGTCACTAGTGATAATCGAACATCTAGTAAAGTGAATGTAAATAGAAGTGGTGTAGTGATAAAAACTAGTGAAAAGAACAGTGTCAACATTCCGAGTGATACAAGTGCGGTGGTGGTGACGACAACAGTGACAACAACCACAACCACAACCCATACTAGTGTCATCAAAACAAAACCGAGTGAGAAACCTAGTGACAAAGTCACATGTCGGAGGGACTCGACTAGTAGTAGCAGTGGTGATGTGAAAACTACGAAAAAGGAAGACAGTGATGAGAAAGAGCGCTTAGAAAAAGAGAAACAAGAGAAAGAAAGACTTGAAAAAGAGAAACTCGAACGGGAACGTTTAGAACGCGAAAGCGAATTAGAAAAAGAAAGGAAAGAGAAAGAACGTCGTGAGAAAGAAGAACAAGAAAAGAAAGAACTCGAAGAGAAAGAAAAACGAGAAGAAGAAGAACGGTTAGAGAAAGAACGACAAGAGAAACTTGAAAAAGAAAAAGAACGAGAGCGCAAAAAGGAAGAAGAAAAGAAACACAAAGAGGACAATCACGAGAAACGTAAAGACGACCACAGACATAGGGAGAATCACAGTGAGAGCAAACATAGAGACAACAATCACACCAAAGAGAACGAATCAAGAAGCAGTCACGAGAAAAACCGTCACCACATCGAAAGAGATGTCGAAAGAAGAAAGGAAAGTGTCAAAGAAAATCGCGATAACAACATTCACGAAAAGAAGAATTTTGATAAGATCGAAAGCAGACACATGAGTATTGATTTCGACCGCAACAAATCCTTTGAGAATATCACCAAAACAGATCCAAGCAAACGAAAAGAACGTAACAATAGTTTACCTGCAAACATCGGAATTAAAAGACGCCTCAGTGCTCATGACTCAGTTGAACATTTAGATGAAGTGAAGAAAATGAAACTGAGTCAAGAACACAAGAAATTGTCCGAAAGACGAGACTCCAAAGATAGCACACGATCCGAAGAAAAAGCAAAAAGTAAACATAAAAACAACACAAAAATCTACGACGACAAAATCAAACATAACAACACAAAAGATAAAGATCGAGATGAGAGACACAAAAATAAACAAAAATTAGAGAAACACAAAATCAAGAGCAAAAGTCGAGAGAAGGAATGTCGAGAGTCTCCAACGACTCCGAAAAGTCCTGGAAAAGAATTATCAGATAAAGATTTCTTAGCTCGACTCGACTTACGTTCCAATGAAGAAGTCGAAAAACAGAAACAACGCAAAGAGAATAAAGACAAGAAAAAATCCGATGAAGATGATGCAAAAAAATCCGAAACCAAAAAAGACAAACATTTGGAAAAAAGCAAATCACGTGAAGATTCACGCAATGAGGATAAAAAATGTCCAAAGAAAGATCGGACGAGAAAATTAACACAGAATAGTTCCGACAATTCCGATTCCGATGAACCAAAGAAACATTCAATTTTCGATATTGTAGATGACGAACCAGCATACATTTCAATGTATGATAAAGTTAAAGCTCGCAGTTGCAAAAATATGCAAAAACAAGAAGAAGAAAAACGTCAAGAGAAGATCAAAGCCAAGTTCAGTCAATTGAAACAAAGTCGTGCTAAACGTGAGGAGAAGAAACGCTCAACTTCATGGGACGAAGACTCAGATTCGGATCGTGAAAGAGGCGATAAAATCGATCACAAGACAAAACGAGGAAACAAAATGTTAATTATGAGTTCAGATGAGGAGGAACCGAGAAAAAGTCACAAGAAACGCGAAATCTACAGCGATTCTGATTCAGAAAGGAGACAAATCAAATCTGAGCATAACGAGACCAGTGAGGACGATCGCGTTAAAAGTAAATTACAACGAAAGGGCTCCAAGTCTCGAATCACGAGCGATACGTCTGATGATGAATTGAAGAAGAATCCGATCAAATCGGAGATCTTCTCGGATAATGAAGTTGATCAAGGATTTGCTGATTCGGAAGATAAACCGTTTGCAAAAGTCAAAGACGAGTTCAATCGGATTATCAAAAAGGCTAGGGATAAACATCAAGAGACGATCGTTGATCAAATGAATGCTCAGATCTTTGGCGATTCCAGTTCGCCGGTACTTGACATAAAAACTGAACAATTCAATAATCGACATTCATTTATGGAGAATTCTTCCGCCGATGAAAACAACGATAAAAAGGAACGGATCGAAGTGAGAAAGAAACATAAAAAGAAGCAGAAACGACAAAAACACTCCTTGAGCAGCGAGGAATGTAACAAACTAGAGACAGTCGTTGATGGGATTCTTACAGAAGATAAGAAGCATCACGATAAGAAGAAACAGCACAGTAAAAAGGATAAAAAGAGGGATAAACCAAAAGATGAAAGGGACAAATCGAAGAAATCAAAGAAGAATAAGTCTGATCTTAAATCTGATCTGAAACGTGATGGAAAAATGGAGAATATATTTGGATCGTTGTCTGAAGATTCAGAAAGTGGAGTTAAGGAATCCGATGATCACAAACCCAACTTTCTGGACCGGTTTGGAGACACTAATATCCAAAGTTATGCTAGTGATTCTGAGCCGGAAAAAATGGAAAAAGAGCGCGAATCTAAAGAAGAACATCGCAAACGCAAAGAGAAGAAACGTCGAGAGAAAGAACGAAGACTCCAAGAAGAAGCTGTTTCTGAACAGATCAATGAAAACAGTATGGATTATGCTGATATGGGTAAACAACTAGAAGCCAATATCAAAGATGACAGTATGGAAGAAATTGATAAAAATGAAATCGATGCTAGTCACGACACAACTGATGATTCTTTCCGCTTTAACGAAAATGACTTCCATGAAAAGAAAGAAGATCGGAAAGAACCACGTGAAAAGAAGAAGAAACGCAAAAAGAGCAAAGAAGAGAAACAGAAACACCACCATCACCATCATCACGATAAGAACAAGGTGAAGACCGAAATAAAGAAAGAGCCGCCGACGACGCCTCCTGAAGAAATCAAAGTTGAAACTGAAGAAAACAAGAGTCTTCCGAATTTAACAGACCCAACACCAAGTCCCCCACAAAATAAATCTTCATCGAGTCTAGACTTTTCCATATCTCCGGTACCACGAGAAGCTTTAATAAGTCCAATTCCAAAAACTCCTACTACATCCAAAGAGAAGAAAAGGGATAAGTTTATTCCCGGCTTTGGTACTGAAATTGATGAGAAACTTCACGAGAACGCAGTTAAATCAATTTCTGAGTTTGAACCATCGAAAGAAGTGACAAAACCGGTTGATGAAACTAAACCAGAACCGGTCCCTGAACCAAATGAAGAAAAACCACGTGTTGTTATCTCACAGGAAGAAACCGAAGATGCTGTTGCAGCTCTCCTTGGTGAAAGCTTTGGAAGTGGCCAATTCGATGAATGTTTCAACGAGGAAGAAATCAATTCGACAAATGACCAATCTTCAAATCTTGCTGAAGCTAATTTAGCTCAAGATGATGAAGAAATGCGACAAGCAGTCCAAAGTTTGAGCGCAAATGATATGGACGTCAAACCGGAAACACCACAAAGCGAACACGAATTACAAATTGATACAGACACGGAAGAAGGCGAAGAAACTTCAAGCCGGTTTGATCAACCACCAAAAACACCGGAAATTACCGAACAGCCGAAAACAACCGAACTGTCGTCGTTCTACCGACCGGAAACAAAACCAACACCAAATATCGGAAGTCCACCTTCGTTAACTCCGATCAAGCCACAAGTTTCAGTTCAGAATGAAATTAAACGGCCCGAAGAACCTAAAGTTTCTCTAAGCTTACCGATGTTACCCGAACAGCCACGATCGGTGATTTCCCAAGCTTGGAAAGACGACCAGACTAATAATCAACCGAAAATACGTACATATGGGAGTCCCCCAATTGTGAAAATTTCGGAACCAGCGTACCCACCATTGGCAGCACTGACTAAACAAGAACATCCACAAATAAGCTCAGCTGAACCGATTAAAATACAAACGTATCCAGTACTGACAACAAACCAAAAAATACAATTACCCAAAACAAATAGTACTCCTCCTGATTCAACAAAAGTCACTACGAGTACCACCAATCTGTCTCTGAGTCGACTTCCTATAACACCCATTATGGTTTCGAAACCATTACAAGCGACCACGGTTTTGCTTCCGCAAGCTAAAATCGCTCATAGTTTAGAACCACCGGTTTTGGTTTCGGCTTCTCAAGAAAGGCCACGAATGGTTTTCCAAACTACATCAAATATCACACCTCACTTCCCAAATATCGTTCAAAGTCCACCTAGAATGGTTCGGTCATTACCACCTCAAGCCCTTGTTATGCCCACTAGACAACTACCACCACCAACACCCTATAGTACCAGTAGCCAAAGTAGTATACCAAAACCAACCATAATAATGTCAACCAGTCAAATACCGACTTCAAAACCATTCATGCCAGTTATTAAAGAAACACCACCGAAGTTAGTAACAATACCGGAAATAAGAGTAACACAGCCTGCTGTTATCCAACAAACTAAGGAAATTAAGGAACCGGAAACGGAGGTTAGAACATCAACACCGAGTCCGGTAATTGTTCAAACACCGGAGAAGAAACCGGAAATTCAAGAACCACCACCACAACAACTAGCCATAGAAAAGGTAACAGAAGAGTTGAATTTGACCCTTAAAAAGGAAACCGACGTTAAGGAGGAAGTCGAAATCAAGAAGGAAGAAGTTGAGGAGAAATTAACCGAGGAAAGTGATGTTGTTGTCAAACCAAAACTGGAAACAACTTCAATCCCCCCCACTGTTAAAGACCAAGAGGATGAGAAAGCCGACACTGAAAGTGTCATTAGTGACATAAGTAAAGAAAGATCAAGTGCTGAAATTTTAACAACTAAAGACGACCCACTTGACAATAAAGAAGACAGTGACTATTGGTCGGCCAAAGAAGTAAATATTGATTCAGTTATCAAGACTTTATGTTCCGCTGACGAACTTTCCGACCACAGCAGCGAAATCGGTAAAGACGATTGGCTAGACGAATCCAAAACCGATGAAAAATCCGACGATTCGTCCAAAAAAGAGGAGGCCATTGACGAAATGTCGGACGAAATTACCGAAAATGATGACAAAGAAACAGCTGGACGTGGTGGTCGTCGTGGTGGTCGAACACGAGGCCGTAAAACACGTGGTGGTATACAAAGTCGGCGTGGGAAACCCGTAGTTACAGTTGCCAAACGTGGAGGACGTGGTGGTTGTCGTCAAAAAGGCGAAAGAAAATTATCAAAATCCGAGTCGGATGCTCCTTCTGATGTTTACGAGTTTAGAGACGACTCTGATGAAAACAAAGAACGACCTAGGTTGATTTTGACAATCAAATCACCGGCTACTGTTAACACCCAGGCTGTTGTCAAAGAACCATCACCTAAACCTGAAACCAAAGAGGAATTCCTGTCACCGGTTGCTAACACTAGAAAGTCGCGAAGATTACAAGAACGTGACGTTTTGAGGAACACAGTAGATGATACAATTGAGGATGTTGTACGGAATACAGTCGTCACTAGATCGAATCAAAATGCACGAAGATCCACACGCCAGGCTGTGGTCAATAAACCTGAAACACCCAGAAAATCACCACGAGGGGGACGAAAGAAAGATCGAAGGGCTTCAGACCCGTCCGAGGACTCCTCCGAAGAGAAATCTAAAACCGATTCAGAAACCAGATCAGAGAGTGATTTGACCGAAATTGAAAAACCAAAAGAAGTAGAAAAAGAGGAAATTAAAGAACCTCCTCATGAAGGACTCAAAGTTAAAATGTTGAGACGTGTTAAAGGCGATATGCAAGAACCGACGACTTTAATCGATCCAGTAACAGGTCTTTTGACACCAATGAGAGAATGTGAAGAAGGTCGATATATACCAATGCTTAAAACAAACGAACAATCTGTTATTACGTCATCACAACAACCAAAACCCAAACCACAAAGCTTAAAAGCACATGTTTTGTCATCACAAGCCGCCAAAGCTGTAGTCTCCCAACAACAACCCCCACCACAACCAATACCCAAGAAGAGTATCATAGTAACAAGTCATCAACCTGTCACAATTCAACCATTAAGTCAAACCTTAAATGTCAATGTATCAATGCCAACTTACACCTCAGCTCACTTATCCCCACGTCATCCCGTACCAGTCAATGTACTATCCAAAGCCCTAACCAAACCTCAACTATCACCCAATCAGATGGCAGTATTGAATCAAAAACAACCAATCATCAATCCGATTCTCACCACCCAATCACAAATCATCAATTTGAAACAACCACCAATCAAACAACCGGTAATCAATAAAGCCAAACCCATACACCAGCAACAGATGTTGACTGGATCAGTGGCAAGTCCTCCGTTGAATAAAGGACCAATGCCAGGCTTGGGGGCAAGTCAGAATAGAATTGTGCAAGCGCCACATCCTAAGGGGGTGATGGAACCCCCGAAAATTGATGTGTCATTATCGAACGTGATTCTGGGGCCGAGATCAAATCTCTCACCCCAAAGCCAACTAAGACACGTGCCGGTGCCTGCGTACGAAGCAAGTTTGGTAAGTCGAGTTAGAGCTTGTAGTAGAAGTGACTAACGGTGTTTTTTTTTCTTACTAACATGCAGCATGGGGAGAGGAATTTGTATAATCGGAGCCGGAGTCCTCCGCCGGCTCATCAAAATTCACCATCACCTCAGGTGATTGTCTTTTTTCGAAATTTGATAACTTTAATTGAGACAATAGTGTGTTTATAAATTTACATTTTATTTAAAATAGATTATTTATTGTATGATTTTTTCAGGGTGAAGCCATTGCACATTTCCCACCGGGTGCTGTGCCCCTACGACCACCACATGACCTCCCACCCGGCCATTACATCCACCCCCACATGTACCAATTAATGCGACAACAACCCTACCATTTATCACGGTAAGTGAAAAAAAATGTATACAACTCGGGTACTAAATCTTGTGATAGCTCGCCGATGGTAGCCGGCACATTAGAGAAATCAGGCGACGGTCAAGAGGGTGAGGAAGCCCCCGTGACGTCACCACCTCTAGAACTACGACGTCCTGGCTCAGTCGGCTTGGCCTTGACTGGAAGAACTGCAGTACCCCACAGTCTCCACTCACCACATGACAGGACAACAGGTATTCCGCCCCCATAACCCCAAAACCCCCAATTTCACACAATTTTTAAATTAGATTCCCCCCAAGTGGGACAAGTCTACAACGTGCACACCGCCCGTATGCAACACTACCATTCCGCTGGTCGGTATTACGAACAAACCGCGGAGCCCCCACCTGCACATCGCCCCCTTACAAGTCACGGATCGCTCACAGCCCTAGCTAATGACCGGTCAATGTCTCACATGGCCGCATTGGGGGCCCCCGAGCGTCCCCTCAGCTCACACGCGGCCTTGACGGCTCATATGGTCCCCGAGCGGCCAATGACGATGGGTGCCGGACTTGGTGCCGCCGGGAATCTCATGGGGGCTGTAGCGAGACATGTGGGTGTTGATGCTCCGGCTAGTCAACGGGGGTTGCAAGCTGCGACACCGCCACATGCCAGTCAAGTACCACCACAAGCCGAAAGTCTTTTCATGCTATTAAAAGTAAGGTTTTTGGCCCCTAAACCCGAACAGGGATTTATTTTTTTGATTTTTTAGCAATATCCCTGTATGTGGCAAGGGTTGCTAGCCCTGAAGAATGATCAAGCGGCGGTTCAAATGTATTTTGTTTCCGGGAATGATTCAGTGGCAAAATGTAGTTTGCCCAAAAATACAGACGGGTCGACTCCACCTTTGAGGATTTTCCAAAGGATGAGGTTGGAGCCCCCACAAGTTGAGGGGGTCGCGAGAAAAATGCAGGTCAGTAAAAATGTGAGGTTATGTCTAGTTTTGGTAAAAATCGTTCATAATAGATGCAATATAATGAATAAAAGTTGATTTTAAGTATAAATACCTTATTTTCGTAGAATTCGGGTGAACACAAACCACTAATAGTAACAAACAAAAAAATACTATAGTACCAACATAAGAAAAATTAGTAACGAAATTTGAAAAATCATCCATAATTGGGTATAAAACACCTGTAATTACAAATAAATCAATTAGTTTGTTATTTTCACATTGAAGTAACACACTTGAGGCACTTGTGCGCTTTAATTTGCGTCTAAAATTGGTTTTGTGTGAAATCACAGCCGCCTCGGTTTGAAAAAGCGCGGGTAATTCAAAAATTTTGTTGCAGATGGAGAACGAGCATTGCATGCTTTTGGCGCTTCCTTGCGGCCACGACCACATGGACGTACTTAAACAATCAACGAATTTGACCAACGGGTTTATCACTTATTTGCAACAGAAGCAGGCTGCCGGGATAGTGAACGTAGCCGCTCCGGGGACTACCCAACCAGTATGTTTCAAATTGGTTTTTGGTTTTCAGTTTTGATTGATTTATTTTTTGTAGCCGGCTTATGTGGTGCACATTTTCCCATCGTGCGACTTTGTGAATGAGAACCTCCGACGGATAGCCCCCAGTCTGCTCGAACGTGTGGCCGACATCGCCCACTTACTCATCGTAATAACTACAGTGTGATAGCATGATTGTTTCAATATTTCGTTCACTTTAACACTGGAAATGACTGTTTTTAACCACAATGTGTGTCTTACTCTCACCGATTTTTTTCGTAAAATCTCGAAATGTGGACGTTATCCAAAACTGGAATTACTTAAAAATATATTTAAAAGTTTCACTGTGATTTCTTGACAAACGTTATTTACTATTATTAAAAAAATAATAAAACTATTAAAAAAACGCTAAAATTAACTTACTACCTATTTAAGAAGATCTCATATTGAATTTAGTTATACAATTTTTTTCTTGTTTGAAAGATCTTTATTTTCGTATTTGTACGTTCGCGGTATATTTGCAATATTTGCAAGTATGCCACGAAAGTTATTTTAAGTTTAACTTTGGGATTTTGGTGCTCTAGGTTTTATTTTTTTATTTTCTTTTTGTTATCACATAAACACGCTCTCGAGAGCGTGTTTTTGTGACTCTTATTTTAATACTTTCTACTCTAGAGCGTTTATATAGTTTTTGTTATTATTTTTTGGGTTTATTTTGTAGAAAGTATGGAAATGAGTTGTGCAACGTAATCTCAAAGTTTTGTTGCGGCTTCAGCAAGGCTGTACATTTCAAATTAAACGTTACCCGTTTGTAGTTTGAAAATATGGCTAATATAAATAAACAAAAAAAGTATATAGACATAATATATAAATATGTAGCATATATGATTATATGAAGAAATCAATCATTTTTTAAATTACAATGTAATATATATGTGAATATAGTTTAATTTGTTACTTTAAGCTTTTTTTGAGTTATCGTTAAGATGTTCTGTACAGTGTACTCTAGGCTGTAAGTATGAGTTAGCCAGCGTTACAAAAATAATATAGGGAACATTGTGATGTCTATATATTACTGTAAATTTTGTACATAAACTGTGTATTGTGAGTATACATTATTATAACTATTACAACAAAAAGTTTTTCATTTCAATCAAATCCCCCCATTTATAAGAGATTGGGCCGACACGAAGCCCCCGTTGTCTTCTCCGGGGGGACATAACCAATCCTCGAATACACTTCCTCCTTAGATTTGGGGCCACTTTGCCAATTTGGAGCCCCCTCAAAACCCTTGCCCTTCTCCTGCTCCTTCGCTATCTGCTGACGCATATATTCATACTCGCGAATATCATCCACTTTCAATTCGATAGTTGTGGGGGGCCGTCGCAACATTATTATTCACCTGAAAACTATAAAAACATAACCTCAATTTCACAAAACAAAAAACTCACTCTATATTATTATTGTGTAATTATTCTACGTGTGAAGTAGATCAGTATGATACAATTCTTGGTTTATTCAATAATAAATGTTTTTTTTGACATAACCTCAAATTTTAGTACAGTGAACTGCATGTGTAACGTCAAATTGTACAGTACAAAACAAAGCTAAAGTGGACTAGGAGTGGGGATGTGGTAAATAACACGAGTGAATTAAATCAACTTTAGTGACTTTTATTTCGTAATTAACATACATAGTGCAGCAAATAAAACAAAAAAATAATCATTTTTGTTTTTGACACTTGAAAACAAGACATTAACATTGTGATAATGCTAAAACAGTAAATACACAACTGTGGCTTAATTTCCAAGTCTAAGTACTTAATAAGATTTTTTACCAGCAAAATTTACAAAATAATGCACTATTCTGAGGTTATTTTTTCATTTATAATGTACAACACTTAAGACCATCTCTTATTTACAGAATAATCGCGTAAATCTAGCATACAATATTAAAAATGAATTAGAAAAAGAAAAAACCTAAATTGCGGTTAATTTTAATTGTATCAAAATTACATTAAATTACTAGTTTTTTTGTGATTATTTTTACAATATTTTTATAAATTATAAAACTTAATTTCTCCATAGGAACAAAACTTTGAAATGCAGTCAATCAGAACACAATAAGACAACGTACTGACAAAAAACAATCACACTTCCAACTAATCAACAAATATCTTGTGATAATGTTTCTTGTTACAAAATTGAGTTAATGCCAAAAGCACCAACTAATTGTTTTTCTCTTATACTTGTCATAAAAGAAACCTAAACACTTATGCTATTATACAACAAAATACACAATAGTTGATCAGTCTAGATATGTACAAAAGTCCAAACAGATTCCGTTTCAATTTGTTTCAGTTTAATTTGTCCCTTCTTCTAATTGAAAAAAAAAAACAAAAACAAAACAACCGTAACTTCAATTCCCTCAACTCTCATTTTAAGACAATAAACGAAAAAAAAATTATCACAAAAAGAGTTGAAATAAATTCCATTGCACATACGAAATCAAAGTTACGAAACTTAACAAAATCACACATCTCTATTCACTTTTTAAGTCTCGGTGGATCTTTGGAGGCGCTTCCTCTCCTAGGCGGGCCTGCTTGTCCCGCCGTTTGGTTGGGGGGCGCCATTGCTACTCCGGAGGCGCTTCCAAAACAAACAAACATCACACATAGGTTTCCCATCGTTCAAGGATGATGATGATTGGATGATTAATTAAATGAAAAAGAAAAAAACAAAAAAAAACAAAAGCAAGTCAGTTATTGCATGAATGAGATTAAGTCGTGATAGGCACTCACTTGGCTTGTTTCGAATTGCTCAAATCAGAAGTGGAGGCGTTTGGGGCCCCCTGACGAAGTCTCATTGACACACGACGTTCATGACTATCATACAAACGGGGCGAGTCTGAAATTTCGCAATTAGGGACAATGGGGGCCAAAAGCCAACTTACTGCTACTGATGACGTCTTCAAGGGGGTTAGGGGCGGCACTATTCGCTGGCACTATGTCAATGCGGTCGTGGGGCCGCCGGGTGCGGCTCTGGGGGGCTGTTGGAGTGGAATCGCCGGGGGTGGCGGCATGACTCCCGTAACGGGTGCCCGAACGGCCGGTGTTCTCCTCGCAGTGGCTGCCCCGGGAGCCCCCTAACATCACAAATATAAAAATTACTTAATTTTTTCGAGAAATCCAATTAATAACAAATTCCAACAAAAGTGGCAACACTGATAACCTCGTCACATTTTTACCAAACAATAAATAGAACCTTATCAAGAGATGCGTCAATTATAAAACAAAAGAATTGCGTTTTACACTGTTACCAAACTTGAGTAAAAAAATTGTGTAATAAATTACTAACCAAATTTGAGCATATTCCAATCAAATACGTAATCGTAGGTGAAACCTTGACGATGGAAAAGTGAACGGAAGAGTTGTCTCAAGTAGCTGTAATCGGGGCGTTCCTCGAACCTAAGCTGTCTACAGTAGTTCAAATAGGTGGGGAACTCCATCGGAAAGCCCTAAACACCCCAAAATTACAAAATTATAATGAAAATCGGTCATATACCTTGCACAATTCTTCTATCGACGTCGACATCTTCTTCTCCGAGATCCTCTCATACTTTTGTCTTTTTGTGGCCGCTTTTAAGCCCTGCCACGGCAATGAGCCCTTATTGAAATACATTAAAACGTAACCTAACGATTCTAAATCGTCCCTTCGCGACTGTTCTATCCCTAAATGCGTGTTTATGCTCGCGTATCGCGCGGTACCTGAAACAAAATTTAACCTTCAAACTATTTTCCAAACAAATATTTGAAATTGGCTCACCTGTGAGATTTTTGTTTTCTCGATAGGGTATGTGTTGGTGGGTCCGTCCGTCTCTGTACTTTTTCGCCAGCCCGAAATCAATTATATAAACTAGGTTACCCTTTTTGCCCAAGCCCATGAGAAAGTTGTCGGGTTTGATGTCGCGATGGATGAAATTACGCGAGTGAATAAAATCAGTACGAGATATTAATTGGTCAGCTAACAGGAGAACTGTCTTTAAGGAGAAACGACGTGAACAAAAATTGAATAAATCTTCTAATGATGGTCCTAGGAGTTCCATTACCATAACGTTGTAGTCACCTTCTGATCCGCACCATTTCATTTGGGGTATTCCCACTGGAAAAAAAATTATTTTTGTGATTTTTTTGGGGTTTTATACTTACCTCCCCCCTGCATCATTTTGTAAAATTTTGACTCTATGTGGAGTTGCGGGTGGCGGGTTTTGATACATTCTAGCTTAATTGCGACCTCCTCCCCCGTGGATATATTGGTACCTGCAAAATGGTAAAATTCATGGTACTTTTGATGTTTTGTTTACAGTGAAATTGCGGATGTTTCTTACCTAAATATATGTCTCCGAATGACCCGGAGCCTATTTTACGGCCTAGTCTGTACTTATTGCCCACTCTAAGCTCCATTCCACCTCACAATTCACACAACAAAAGACATGAAATGCTTTCGTACTTCAGGCGGCCATATTAGCCAACTATCATAGGAAATTTGACGTAACTAGAAGGCTTAGAAATTCGTTTTTTGTTTATTTTTAGGGAAATTTACAGCTAACAGTTGGGGTATTTAGAATTTCACAATTATCACAGATTCGTCAATAACCGAAAATTAATTTTGCAATTTCGCGTTTCATTATGGCCTTTTGGTGACACACACACACAACGAAACAACTGAGAAAATAGACGGCCAAGTTGCACGTTATTATCAAAGACGCGACCTTGAATATCACGTTTCACCAAACAATAACCACGGAGTGGTACGTTTGTCGCAACTTGACTGAAACGACCAATTTCCCATTTGTCACGTTGCTAACTTCATGCCAATAATTATGCACAATTAAGACACCTATCGTAATTAAATCATAATCAATTCATTGAAATTATAATGACAACTCAATAATTCGGTTTAATTAATAGTAAATTTGCCAAATTGTGATTTTTCAACTCGTGGCTAACTTCACACCAAAGTCAACTGTCATTTCAGGTTCATGCAAAAATATTTAATTTCGGAAAATAACAATGCCTGAAGTGGAGCCCCGAAATGTGGTCGAGAAATTCTTCAATTCGGTTGCTAATGTTCTAGTGACACCAACAGTTTGGGTTCGAGGTAAGTTCCCCGACTTAACCTCAAACTTGTGTTAGGTGCCCCCTTAAATCCCCGAAATGAATCCTCCCAATCTGGTTAACTATTAAATGGTGTTATATTTTAGAAAAAATCGTGGAACCCAACCAGAAGAGTTACCCATGGTACCACCAGAAATTCCGTCGGGTGCCCACCATTGACGAATGTTACACCGATGATGTTGTGTGTTACTACGAGGCCGATACTCAGTACAAACGTGACAGGTAATCGACCCTAAATGCCTCATTTGGGGGGTTATAAAGTGTTATGTAACAGGTTAGTCGACTCAAATATTTTGTCGATTCTGAGAGCCCGTTTCGAGGACTGCACTCTCTATGAAGCCCCCGATCACTTGGAAAAGTGTAAACCAATCTGGAAGCAATACGAGGAGGCTCAAACCAACTGGTTTATCAAATGTGAGTAAGAAATTTAGAGATTCCAAATGAAAACTGTGTTCCAGATGGCGATTTGGGGGGCTATCATAACGTCAAAACCGCCTACATGAAGCAAAAACATCGCATGATTTGGGAGCGCCGTCACGGTCCCGTCGGTTCAGGTAAAAAAACAGAATGAAACTGCCTTCAATGTAGTCCCGGTGTATAGTATAGTGAAATAAATTGTTAATTATTGGAAAAGTATAAATTTATTTATCCGCAAAAATTCTACAATGGTTGTAAAACTTAAAGTAGAGGGAACGTAATTACAAAGTCACAAAGATTATAAAAATATTTGTACATACATCTGAGCAACGAAAATGATTCATCAGTACATTTTTTCACGTAAATTAACATTATAAGTAAATTACAGACAGTAAATTAAGTTGGTAACGCTATCAATTGACAGCGTTACCAACTTTAACAATAAAAGAAAACAACTTAACAAATACAATCACAGTGAAAACTTAAATTACATGTTACTTAATTATCGAAATCCAAATAACTTGTGAAACGACGTTTGGTACCTGACCCTAATAAGAAATCCAAAATCAAAATATTTTTACAAAAAACACACTTACCGCAAGCCCCTGATTCAGTTTCATTATCTGATGGCGAATTCTCCAATTTTGAATTAACACCAGAATCGGTCGAATCATCATACACACCTTTCAGCATTAATTTATCGGGCATTGGCAATTCGGCCGGATCGGGGGCTTTACCCCACGGATTTTGATTTCTCGAAAATAGGAGCTTCGCCGGCGAGATTAAGTCATAGGGATTACCTATCGGTTGGGGATTTTGAATTATGGGTAAATCAATAGCTAGATTCTAAAAAACACCAATAAATTTCTTAAATCATTTACAAATCGCTCAATTACCATTTCAGACTCTAGTGCGGAATTCTTCAATGGACTCCAAATAAATGAAGTCTGAAAAACTCTTATTTAAAGCAAGAAAAAATTATGTATGTTGTACTTACAGGAGTGGGCGGAGTGTCAGGTTTAGGGGCCTTGAATTTCCTAATTGCCCCTGACGATTTTGGTATAGGCGGTGGTGGAGATTTTTTCGTTTGATGGTTCCAATCGTAAATTTGCCTTGGTATGGGAACGTGATATTCTAAAATTCAACAAGTTTTAAAAAATTCAAATATAGATCCCTAACTTACCGCCCAAATTTCGATTAAGTGCAAGCACACTCTTATTATATCCACAAATAAAAAACAAAAAATCAAACTGTTCGTACAATTGATCAATCGTGTTGATTTTAAAGTCCGAAAGTCGGATATTTTTACCGAAAAATTCATAATACAATCTTCTCAAATTATCAAACAAAATCGACCCACCAATGATGTACAATATGTGATACAATTCAGCGGCAATAACATATAAATCGGTTAATGCAATGTAGATTCCATCGTTTTCGACCGATAATGTTACAACATTCCTCAACTGTTTCAAATCATTAATATTAATATCACTATTGTATTTCCACTGGTATTCGTATTTGAAATTTGAAAATTCTTTACGATATGGAGGCTTTACTAAAATGGCCCATATACGAATTTTAGCAACAGCAATAAAACCAACATCAACAGTCACCACCAAATGGCCAGAACTTGTATCAACAACCTGTCGAAAAAATATAGTATGCAACTTATACTTGTAACATTCCCTAACCTGGACATAATCATTGAGTTTCTCCAATAGCTCAAACAACGTCTCCGATTCATACACTTGTGGTTTGAGCGGATAACCGCACTCTTTCAAGTAAATCCCCGGAAGTTCCTCGAGTAAAATACTCAAAGTGGGTGAATTCTTCACAAAACTCACTATTTGAGTACCCAAAATCTTGAGCGATTGGTTCAACGTAAGGCTTATGGTGCGTTCACCTTCAACTAACTCTTGTATCTGGAATAAAAAATTAAATTAAGTTGGCAACACTATTATTAGCCACCTCACCTTGACCACATCGGGGATTGCCTCAAACAGATCAATCAATTTGGTAAATCCATAATCCGAAACACGACATTGATAACCGAAATGGTGATGATAAGCTGGCACAAATTTAGTGAAAAGCATCGTACAATTAGGGGAATGTCTTAAAATATCAATAACCTCCATTGCAAATTGTTTCGTTTTCATTAGTTGCTTAGCAGTTTGTTCACGTTTCGGTACCGAAATGACTAAATTCTCATCATTATGCATAATTACGACAACATTGTCGGGCACTTCATCGAGTAGATCCAGAAATGTGCATAAACCATAATCGACTGGATTAAACACTCGATTCATGACCCGTTCATAGGCGGCTGGAAAATCACCAACAGTGATCTGTTTTGTCGGCTGGACTTTTAAAACACGTAATAAGTCTGAGGTAAAGCGACGCATTTGTGCTTGATGTGATAATGTAATGATTTTTCGTGAACCATCACCGATTATTTGTACTACATGTGAAATCGATTCAAATAAATCAATCAGTTTGACGTAACCGTAATCGGCGACGTGACATTGTCGACCGAAATGACGATGATAGGCCGGTATGAATTTACTGAGTAAAAGCTGACATCTATCGGTGGTTTTAAGTAAATCGACTACTTCACGACAAAGTAGACTGATATTGGGGACTAATGATGGTGGTACAGCTTTCAAAATTGTCTCTTCATCCATTTCAACCTTTAATTCACGTTTAATCACTTTTATGTTCTTATTCGGACCGGAATTTTTAATCTCAATATTGGCAACACACGAAATCAAGTGTTCGAGGGGAACCCCAGAAGCATCCACTGGAAGTGTCTCATGACACACTTGTTCATAGCACGCTTGAAAACTGAGCAAAGGCATCGAACCCATATGTAAGTTTAGTAGTTGGTCCAATTTGGTAGTAAATTGACGCAATGACATCATAATATTAGGATTTTGATTCGTATTGAGTTCACACCAACCAAGATTGGGTAAACCACCGGCACAATGAATGGTACAGTACGGTACTAGGGTCTAAAAATTTTTTTTAGTAGGGATTTTTTAAAAAGTTGTACTACCAACCTTGCTCAAATTAGGCGGTGGAAAAACTTTCATTTGTTGAGGGAATGAAATAATACGACAACCAAGATTGTCGCTGATTTTACAAATGTCTTTCAATTTGTTGACTTCAGAAACGGAAACGGCGTAATTGTAACGCGATTCGAGCAATTCCATAAATTTAAACAGGGGCATGTTGTTGTCGGGGACTTCCTGGAAAGAAAAGAAAACGGTTGGCAACACTAGCGAATGATTGTATAAAAAAATGAAATTTTTAAAAACTTATTTACAAAGTTGTTGCTAAATTTGAAAAAATAACATTTGGTGTTGAAAATGGAAGCTGTCAATTTTTCATGACCAGCTTTGTTTTTTCTCAAATAAATACAAAATAAAAGTTTAAACATTCTAACAACAATTAAAAAAAAAAATCTTATTGACAATAACAATACATTGATATTGTTTTTTTTTATTAATCTGGTTATCTAATAACTTGACAGAAGGTTAAATTCAATTTGCATAACATCTGTTTATACACAGATAAAAACACTTTGCATTTAATGTCCTTGTGTGAAAATTATTAATACTGAATAAAAAAAACTACTATGGAGGATTTTTCAATCTTCCAAATGTCAATTTTAAAATACACAAATTGCAATACTGTATATTAAAAAAATGAAAAATCAAATTCTTAATCTTAATCCAAAATAAAATCTTAATTTTATATTTATTTAACGAAATACAGGGTGCGCCAGAACTCGCGCCCCGGAGAAAATTTTCAAGTAAAGTAAGATACCAGGAACATGAAAAAAATGTTTAAAAAATTCTATCTGTCAAAAAATTTTGACATTTTTTGAAATTTGACATTTTTTTTATATCTATTTAATGATACTGATGATGTTGTATATGTTTTTTACAATTATTTAGTAACGGGACAAAAATTTTGCCAATAAAAGCCACAAATAACATTGAACAAATTTAGGATATAGCTTCCTAGTTTTCTCTTTTCATAGATTGTAGCAAAAAAAACTTGGAAAATTATTTTTCCAACAAAAATAAAGAGAGTCAAAGTGCAAACTTTAAACCCTCATAACTTCGAAATTTTTATAGATAAAATTTCTGTTCTGGCACACCCTGTATATTGTTGTGTCGCAGCCACCTCTTGCATAACATTAATTACTCCCACTAATCGAAAATTGTAAAACTAAAATGTTTATTTTTTCACATTTTGTGAAAAAATAAAAAACGAGACATATTTGCGTATAATAACAATAATAATAATATAATGACAACGTATATTTTGCTAATGTAATTATCATTTTATAAATTTCAGCCAAAAATCCTTCAATAAAATTGCATCGACATTTGGAAAAACCAGTTTAAATGCAACACCACTGACTAAATTATTTTGTTGCAAAACCACGTAAACCATAAAAATCCAGATTAAAAAAAACTTAAAAACTGGTCGTCATAAATCCATCAAAAATTGATAAATTATTAAAATCTCTTCTCTATCTCAAGACCACAATACAAATGAAGTGACATTTAACCACAAAATGGATCAAAATCCGGACTTATTTGACAATGACCGTGAAAAACCTGTATTCCACTTAGTGCAAAATGAAATTAAAAAAAGTCGTCTAATATTTTAATTAAAAAAATTATCATTCGCTTGTTTCGGTGACACACCCCCACAAAATCTAGTATAAAATCACCAAAATCGGTGAACAAAAATCAGATTTGATTCAACCAAGTCACAACAAACAACACATCAACATGTTCAAATTGGTGAGTATTAATTAAATTCAATTATTTAATTTAAATGTAAATTTTTTAGTTCGTTTTCTTGGCCCTTGTCGCCTTTGCTTTCGCCCTCCCTAAAGCCCAACCCCAATTCTACGGTGACTATTCCGCTGTTGGTTATGGTGGTTATGGTTACGGTGCCGCCCCTTACGCCTATGGCGCCGCCGGATATGGTGGCTACTATGGAGGCTACTACTAATTTAATAGTTATTATCGTTTCTGAGAAACTGACACAACCAATATGCAATAATAAATAAAGTTATCAAAAAGTACAGTTACCTGTATTACACTTATAACCATGGCTCTCAACTCCTCCAGATTCGGGGAATTACTCTGTGCATACGACACCGCAATTCTCTTATGTCCCAATTTCTGTCTATGAAGTTGCGAAATGATAAATTGTGCTGCTTGTTGATTATTCACTCTGATATTGGCCACAGGAATCCCATCTGATTGTACCATCACTTTTAAACTCGAAATCTAGTAAACTGAAATGTCAAAAAAACGAAAAACAAAATGGTCGTTTCATACCATAGCATACTCCTTTAACAAGTCCGTGAGCATTCGGCGTAATTCTTTGATATTTAATGCAGGATCAAGATTCGAAATAATAAGATCTACCGGTTTTGAACAATCTATTTGCATTTTATTACCACCATCATCGCTGTATTCCGAACTGACACTTGTACGACGAACACGACTTGGTAGAGTTTCTTGTGGTGTTCTAAGACGACGATTCAAATAATTTGTGTCCATAAGAGACGACGATGAGGCCATTGGACGGATAGGAGGAAACTCTTGCTCCTTGGAAGAAACATTTTATTAGAAAAAAATTGGTAACCCTGAGAGTGACATTGACATTTAATCACAGCCACCCTTTTAAAATCAGATTATGCTTCATCGCGTTATCATAACCACCAAAGGAACTCACTTTCGGAATTCGACTTTGGGGCCTCAAACTCGGCCTTAATCATCACTTATCTTATCAAAAAAAAAAAAAAACAAAAAAACGCACATTCAAATGTTTTAGAACTTACATAGAATTTTTTGTCTCGTCCTTGAGCCCCTTGAAACACCCCATCTTTCACTTTACGACCAGTGTAACTCCTCAATGTCGGTGTAACAGCCTTGATTTTGTTACCGAAGACATCTTCCCCATGGATGCGTTTCTGTGCCCTAGAGAAAAATTTTGAAAAACACGTGGTCGAGTCCAAATCAGAAATGGGGGTGTTTTAAGGACTGTTTTACACTCACTCACCTGTAATCCTTCTCGTACGGTTTAAAATGTGCCATTTTAGTGAACAAATTTCTCGAAATTGTGTGTTTTATTTAAAGAAATGAACGCAACATGTTAGAAGGAAAAATTTTTTTTGAACTGTTTTATCGGAGGGTAAAAAAGATTGGTGATTTCAGTGGTACCAACCTATTGGCAAAATCTTGATTGGAGAATCGAATGTAGGCAACCCCTTCGTCATGTTGCACTTCCACTACTCGCCCCCCACAATTATTACTTAAAAAATTCAAACGATTTTTAATAGTGGACGCACTTATCTTAGTCGGTAAATTAGAAATCTGTAAAAAGGACGATTCCTTCGTCACCCCCTTGAATCAAAAAAATGAGTTTAGTGAGTTTGGGGTGAGTTGGGGGGTACCTTGGGCTTTTCCTTCGGGAGCCCTTCCGTGATGGTCCTGTAGGAATAGTGCTCATTGGCGCATAAAATTAAAGCATCAGCAACGTTCGTATTATGAACTAGTATCACGCGGATTTTTTTGCGATATCTGAGATCCGATAAATCAGCTGCAAAGTTGATATCGCCGGAAATTAAAACCACAGCTGAGGGGGCTGCAAACACTTCGGCAAAGCGTCGCAACGACTGTCTTAACTTCTCATCGGCGGCGTTCTTCGACGTGGAGGCAACGTGAATCAAAGTCACCTAAAATTCGATTAAAATCGATCAAAATTCGGTCGTTACTCACTTGTGAATCGTGCAATTCTTGTATGACTTGTGGACGCTCCTTTTTCACGTCACACACAACCAAAAATTCCGCTTCGCGATTTTTTTCTAAAAAAAATTCCCTGATTCTTTGTACTACAGCTGAAGCACTCGTGTTTTTGGGTACATGGCAGTTTTCTATATCCCAAAATATACCCAAAGGTGGCAGTCGATGGCTTGATTGAGGTTTCCGCTTGTGGGGCTTGCGGAAATTTTGTGCGCTTGTTGAACTATCGGATTGCGACGACACGTACGAATTATTCACACTTTTTGAGAGTCGGGGCTTTGGTGGAAAACGGAATTTTGCTCGAGTTGTTGTATAATCGGACAAATTGAATTTGCGGTGAGAATCATCGCTGGAATCTTGCGAATTCGTGCCAGATGAATGCATTTTTCATTAGTCAAACCATTCCGATAAGAGAAAATTAAAATTACGACACATTTATTCACAAATAATCACATTTTAAAACTGTCCCACTGTTACATTTTGACGACTAAACATACGTGAAGTTAGGCACCAACAAAACACCAACTTGTCACCAGACAAAGATAGCCATACCACATCCACGTCAATCAAACAGAGACAGACAAAATTATTGATTTTTTGACCGTTACTAGTTGGCAATCTTGTTTCTTATCACAACCAATAATAAATAAAAATTGTCGCTTATTAATCTCATTATAATAAATCTTTATTGTTCTGTCCTTAATCAAGGTTTTTTAGCCTGCGTAAAATCCCCTCAATTGGTCATTGACGTCATACCTGTCAACTTGTCAAAAGTGACGTTTCTGTAATGTCAGTCCAAATTGTCAAACTTTAACTTAAAAAAAATGGGTAATGTCGACACAAAATTGAATTTCCGTAAAGCCGTCGTGCAATTGACGTCCAAATCTGAGGTACCCCCAAATCTGGTCCAAAACAATTCGAAAATTTTTCACTTTTGTTCCAGCCCATTGATGCAAACGACGACTCATTTTGGGAGCAATTCTGGTCGGAGAACGTCACAAACGTCCAAGACATATTCACTTTAGTGCCTGCGGCCGAAATCCGTTCGCTCCGTGAAGACGCCCCCTCGAATCTCGCCACCTTATGTTACAAAGCAGTGGAGAAGTTAGTCAAAGCTGTTGATAGCAGTTGTCGGACACAACACGAGCAACAAACCGGTATAAACCCCACAAGGGGGCCCTTCACCTCTCTAATACCATCAATTGCAGTTTTGAATTGTGCACGATTGTTGACACGAATCTTGCCGTACATTTTCGAGGACTCTGAATGGCGGGGCTTCTTCTGGTCGTCGTTGCCGAGTCAAGGCGACGATGAGGACGAGTCGGTGCCCCTCGCCCAGTCACTATTAAACGCCGTGTGCGATTTACTATTTTGTCCAGATTTTACGGTGGTTGCGAGCCGGAAAAGCGGCCCTGTGAGTGCCCCCCTGTGTTTCACTCAATTTGATTGAGTTTTCTAGGACAAAGCTGAGGAATTGTCGGCGATTGACAGTTGCGAGTACATATGGGAGGCTGGAGTGGGGTTTGCACATTCGCCCCCACGTACCCCCTTGCTTGACTCAAACCGGACAGAGTTACTTAAACTTTTACTGACGTGCTTCAGCGAAACCATATATCAGCCCCCCACTGATATCACCCAAAACCCCAATAAATGGATAGCGTAAATCTTGACTATTTTCAATTCCTATTATTTTGTTTTAATTTTCAGTCATTTGACATCATCTGAAAACCGACATGCCCTACCTATGTTTACCTCACTTTTGAATACAGTCTGCGCCTATGACCCTGTTGGGTTGGGGGTACCTTACAACCACTTGATTTTTAACGATTCACTTGAACCACTAGTCGAAGCCGCTTTGCAAATTTTAATTGTGACTCTAGATCATGATACAAGCTCTTCGAGTCCCACAGAAGGCGAAGATGTGAGACTTTTACTAGTTGGGGGCCTTTAAACCATTTTTTGTTCCAGAATACAGTCCCTGATAATCTCTTTATTAATTACCTCTCGCGCATTCATCGTGATGAAGATTTCGAATTTATTCTCACTGGTGTTACAAGATTGTTGAATAATCCTTTAGTACAGACGTATTTACCGAATTCGACCAAGAAAGTGCACTTCCATCAAGAGTTGTTGGTGTTTTTTTGGAAAATGTGCGATTATAATAAGAAGTTTTTGTATTTCGTGTTGAAAAGTAGCGATGTTTTGGAAGTTTTGGTGCCTATTCTCTATCATCTCAACGATTCAAGGGCCGATCAATGTAATAGTGTTTTAATTAATTGACAATTAATAATTTTCCTTGTAGCTAGAGTCGGTCTAATGCATATAGGAGTGTTTATTTTGCTTTTATTGAGTGGTGAGCGAAATTTCGGTGTTCGTCTCAATAAACCTTACACAGCAACAATTCCAATGGACATTCCCGTCTTTACCGGCACTCACGCCGACCTTCTCATCATCGTATTTCATAAAATTATAACGACTGGTCACCAAAGACTTCAACCACTTTTCGATTGCCTTTTAACAATTCTAGTCAATGGTAAAAAAAAACAATTTTTAATTAAAATCAAGTTGCGTGTTTTAGTATCTCCATACTTGAAAACCCTCTCAATGGTGGCAAGTACCAAACTGTTGCACCTTTTGGAAGCATTTAGTACGCCTTGGTTCCTCTTCTCCTCATCAACCAATCACCACTTGGTCTTCTTTCTTCTGGAAATCTTCAACAACATCATCCAATACCAATTCGATGGTAACTCGAATTTGGTCTATACCATAATCCGGAAACGTCAAGTGTTTCACAATTTGGCAAACCTGCCTAGTGATTATGGCACCATTGCAAAATCGCTAAACAAAAGAACACGAAGTCGTATGTCGTCGACGACAAGTCACGAAAACGTCGCCGAGTTGGCTATGGAAGGTTCACATCCGGCACTTCCGGCCGAACCGGGAACTTTAAAAGCGACACTTCCGGATACGCCCGGAATCGGACAAATGACCGAAAAAGAACCGGCACACCCTTCGTACCAAAATGAGCAATTATTAACCAATGGTATGGCGGCAATTGCTTTGGACACGCCCACGGCGAGTACGACTGAAGAAACGGCCAATGAGAATGAAGAGAAGAGTCGTAGCCCGTCACGTCAATCCGTTGCCACGGTAAGTGTCAACGACCACGTGATTGTTACTAATTGATTGGTTAGAGGAATAGTTTGCGTGTCTCCGCCTCTGGGGATAAAAACCCCGCCCATTGGACGCCAACTGGCGAATGGGTGCACTCGTGGAAATCCAAATTACCGCTTCAGACTATAATGAGGCTTTTACAAGTTTTGGTACCTCAAGTTGAGAAAATTTGCATCGATAAGTAAGTTGTCGAAAATTTTAAAAATAAAATTCACATATTTTTCCTAGGGGCCTAACTGATGAAAGTGAAATTTTGAAATTTTTACAACATGGGACTCTTGTGGGGCTTTTACCGGTGCCTCATCCTATACTTATAAGGAAGTATCAAGCGAATTCGGGGACTACCACGTGGTTCAGGACGTACATGTGGGGAGTGATTTATTTGAGGTGAGTTTTGATTGGGTCACGTGCACATTGTGATTTGCTTTTGTTTTTTAGAAATGTCGATCCACCAGTTTGGTACGACACCGACGTAAAACTATTTGAGATTCAGCGAATCTAAACGTAATCAAAATATTATATTTCCTAATTTATTTTTTTATTTATTTAGATCAATTTTTCCATATTTATGTAAATGTGCATTTAATATTAAGACTGTTTACAAATGCTTTTAAATGTACTTTTTAATGTAGTTACCGTTCGTTTTTCTTGCAATTAGTTCAATTTTTCAACTGGTTGGTATAAACTGGACCAAAGTTACGTTGAAAATAACTTATTCAATGATGTAGTTATCTGTTTATACTGTTACAGCTTTTTGTAAAAAATTGACGCTATTTGTGTTTTATTTTTGTAGAAATTTATTTCAAAATGTATACGTTCGTTACAGTGTATAACGGATTCAATAATTAAATGAGTATATTCAAATCTGGGTATTTTAATTTGTGAAGGTTCGTAAAAAAAACAATTGGTAAGTACGCTTTTTATTCCATTTTATTTTTACATAGCTGACTAGTTTAAACGTAATTTTCTTCTACAAAAATTAATTATTTGGGACTGTGTTTGAAAGCAATCTCAAATATACTTAAAAATTTTTTTAAATGTGATACAATAAAGAAAAAAAAAGTAATAGGAATTTCTAATTAAAGTAGGTTTTTACTGATATATTTTGATATGTTTACCAGGCGCCACCTAGTGATCACTTTTAAAACTAATCAAGCGCATCGGTAGGAAATCATCCTTTTTTGCATAAAAACAGTAATAATGACAAATTATAAAGAATGGTTAAAAATTAAGTGATTACAAAACAATGTTAAACCATGAAAAGAAGTATTGAGCATATTGAGCAAAAATTGCGCCATCTAACGGCTCGACTTATGTCCCACCAACGAAAGAAATATGCTAAAATAGATAAAACCTAACCTATAATCATCGAGTAAAATCTTACTCTGAAATATCTTTGGTATAGAATTTGTTTTTAATTTCTATGCATTCTAGTGTTAAAAACTTGAAATAATAAAATCCCCAAATTGGGTATAAGAGATTGCGGTTGGTTGTCATAGACGTCATTTTTAAAACATCCAAGAAGATAAAAATAATAGAAAAAATATGGCAATTGTCAGGGATACAAACATATTCACACACAAACTAAAAATCCCTAAAATATAATCTCACATCGGTAATATATCGACTAGTGATTCCCCCACTTTGAGCAAACTACAAGGAAGTCAATTTTTTTCGTGCTCATCGGCCACCAACTCCGGTGGCATTTCCACCTGATACGAGATTCCATATGGCCTTAGATGATAAATCAAGTACTCCAAAACATACATTTGATTCGGAGTGACATAATGAAACGACACGGCATTATCCGAGCAACAGTCCATCCCCTACAACAATCACACGTACCAACCACACCACCTGAAAAACCCTCACCTCTTTACTCTCATAGTAGATGTACTGCCAATACCAGAAACTCTTCTTCACGTGTCCCGGAATCAAGTGATGCTCGGGTACGAACGGAAAAAACCGTCCTCTCCCGAGCGAATCGCGTGAATCCCCCGCTTTGACATCCACCGCTTCGAGACATTTACCGATTTCGACGTCTTCGGCGCCACTGTTAGTCTTGGAGCATTTGGTGGAGTTGAGACCAAGCTCGACGAAACGTCGTACCGCCTCCTTACTGAGAACGTAGCCAGCGCCCCCACTCATGTACCCCTGTTTGACATAGGGCTTAAACTTGCAACCGAAGTAGATGGAGTCGGAGGGGTGGTAAGGGAGGAGCATGTAACGCAAATTCTCCAATATTACATAGCTGGAAAAGAGGGCGTGGCGATGAGTGGTGGTGAGTGGGAGGAGCTTACGTATCGTCATCGGCTTTGAGGAACCAATCAGCGTCATGCATGTGGTTGTGGTACACGTATTTGAACGCCTCCTTTGTCTTACCCCACAGGTTGTTGCGGCCTTCGCTCACGGGGAGGGCCACGGCGGGAAGCGAGTCATCTGATTGGTGCAAAAAAAAAACAATTACCACGTGACAAGTTGGCAACATTGACTATCAAGTTTAAATGTCACAATTTTATCGTCAATTGTCATTCCCTTGCGACGGGCGGCCGCTGGAATTCCCGTCACTTGACACAATCTGATATCAGAGACTAGAATGATTACCAGTGTTGCCAATAGTTTCACTCCCACACTCCCCGATTACCAATCAACTTCCGTTTCCGCTAACCTTTCTGTGAACTCATGAATATCAACTTGTTGCACCGTTTGCCCCACGTGGCCTTGACATGTCTTGCCCTCTTCTCGTGGTTGCTAGGCCCTGTCATGATCCAACACAAAACCCTCACTTTCTTAAACATGAGATCAGCAACGGTTGTATTCTCCATTTGGTGGAACTCTTCATCGTGTCGGTGAACCCCCGGATCGATTGAAGGTCCAGATGCAGACTCCATGTCTTGACTCGTATGGGGATCCCCCAGAGCCACCAGGAGGATCTCGGGGGAGAGTATCACATAGGCGGTCACAAACCCCACCACAATGCCCGAGAGGAGGGCCACAAGGAATTGCTTGTTTACGTTTGTCCTGGAACATATTTAATTTCCTCTTATCTCAGCAAGCATAATCAGAAACAAATGATGTTTACCAAATTTTATTTTAACAAACACAATTATTAGTAATTAAAAAATCACGAATAACAACCAAAACAAACAATTTAATTCAAATTACTTAAAATTTAATTTATTATAACTAAGTAAACAAGATTGCTTTTGAATTCAATTGTTTACACTTTACTTACCATTTGTGTAGCCCTAACCTCACGTAACTCATAATGAGGCGTTTATGAATGAAAATCACGTCAGGAACATGTTATTTTCCATTCTGAATTAATTTAATTCAACAAATTAATACAAATTTCATTTTTATCACACAAAATAATCACAAACACAATCAACTCTGCGTTCCACCATTTTTGACACTGTCGCAGGGGTACCAACCAACTTTTTTGTTGTCTTTTTTTTAAATTAATTCAAATTAATAAAAGAATTATCTTTATTTGAATCATAATACTTATGTTTTATTTTATTTAATTGTAATTATTTTATCCAATATTAGAAATTTCGGTCAACCACACGTGACAGGGGTGCCAACCAATTTCGCCGAAAAAAAGTTGAATTTTTGTGGTTGGGGTTAGAAATGAGTCTTTTGGAGAAAATATTACGTAATATATTTAAGAATTGCACAACCACAATAATTATAACTTAACATTACTAATATACATGAGCAAAATTAACTGCAACTCTGACGTGGTTTGATTATAATAAAATTATCTTACAATAATATTTACAAATAAAAAAGGGATGCAATTCTGCGTCATGGTATCAACACGAAAGAACACTGAATTTAACGATTTTTGTACAAAACTTGTGTGAAAAAAATTGCAAAAATCTCCCAACTGAGATCCGCAAGGCATTTTTGTGCTTAAGAGCTCATTAAAACCACATATCAAGTTATATCACTTGGGTTGGTAGCTGATATGTGATTTAAGTAAACGTAAAAATACACACAGTGTACTATCTACGTATATTGAACCCTTTGGTTCCATCTGGTCCTTTTGGTAACCGAATTACGTTATCTAAGTCACTTGAACGTCCCTTACAGGACACTATACTAATCCTAAAACCCCCAAAATTAACAAATTGTTAAAAAAAACACCAAATCGTACTTTTCCTCTTCAGTTTTTTCAGTCTCTCCTAAAATTCTAAGTCTGGCTTCTGCATACTCCTGTTTCCTTTGTTGCAGCGTCTTTTTCGGTTGGAATACTTTCGAGTCGTTGGTGTTTTGGGGCTCTTTCGAGGGCCGTTTCAGGATTTTCACTGTGGGTTCCGGAGGCACGTATTGAGTCCTTAAGGCGTCATCACCCGTCAATAGAATTTTAATCGGCATTGAATTAATACCATTACTACAACAAAATCTTTATTTTGAGCACTCCCATATCGTAGTGTCACCTTTTGGGCTCCAGAGACTTGCTCGGTGGAATAATTGACTTAAACTTCTGATCTATCACCTGAAATCAACAGATTTAGTGGGGATAACCTCAATTAAATGCAATGATGTAAAACACAATAGACAGTTGTGGGGGTTGGGGTGGAGTTATGGGGGGCGAAAAATGGTATTATGGGGGTTATTACATCAGTCTCTTCGATTTCTTCCCAACTTTCTAATACCTCCACTTCTTGTTGCTTGGAAGCCATGTTTTTGGGATTTGTCAATTTTAGGGGAGTTTTGGTTTGGAACTAAAAGCCACTAACACGTGCAAAAAATTTAATAAATAAACAATTAAAATAATAAAACAAATTTAATTTATAAAACAATTATTCGGTGTCTGAGACGAACAAATCCTCAATATCCACCACATCAACTTGGCAAGCTTTTTGAAAATATTCATTTGGATGGTTTAAAACAGTCTCCCCTAAATTGCAATTATGAACACACTTGAAATATTTATTACAAGCCTTGGTGTATTCATTTTGTTCCTTCAAACTCAAAATAGATGCAATTTCATCATCGGAAATCTCACTTCGGAGTCTCGCTGCTAAAACTTGCTTGTCCCAGTGTTTGAAAGCACAACCGTGCACTTGTCCACTTGTAACTCCTTGATTTTGTATTTTTTCACAATTAAATGGCTTATAGTTGATTTTTGCCCCAATTACACCATACTGATGTTTGAAATAATAGGCGTATTCTTTGCTGAACCGCTCCTCGTCCATTATTTTAACAAATTCTCTCTTCCAAAACTCAAGAGCGTCTTTCAGCGACAAACCAATACCTTTAAGAAAAAACCCAAACTGAGCTCGTGAGAAATATTTCAAATGGTGTGTTTTTTGCAAAGTTTCGTATTGAATTTGCATACACAAGGGGAATTTTTTTGATTTTTCTGGTAATTGTTCGAGTTCAAGACTACCAAAACCAGGATTGTATTCAATGGGTTTGACTAGATCCAACATAGAGATGATTGCTTGTAAATGTTCGTCGAAACAAACAGGATGGATTTTCCTCAAGTGTTCGAATGATTCCCCCAAATCTTTTTGCAACTGTTGGATGAACCAATAAACGACTTTGTGGTCCGGAATAAACACATAACCCTTACTCATGGGATACATATGTAATTTTAGCAACTCCAAAACTTCAGTGAAATAAACTTTATACCAAGATCCGGTCAATCCAAATTGGGTTTTTTCCGGATCCGTGGCTGCTGTTAGACGAGATTCGGTGATTAGGGCCGCCCGGATATTACTAGACAAGTTATTAAAGCGAATTCGGAACCAATTGAGTTCATTTTTTACGAAAAAAGCTCTAGTGTCGTAATCAGTGCGACTGTAAGCTACTCGTAAAGCCCAGTGTGAAATATAATCACATTTGCGAGCATCAACAATTTGGGGGGAATCCCCGATTTCTAATAAATGAACAAGCGGGGAGCTTTTCTCGTTTAATAACGTTTTAAGTTTGTCCAAGAAATGGGACTCATCATTTTGAAAGGTTTTGTATAAGATGAGCCTTTGACGGCACATTTCGACTACATTGGGAAGTGACTCTTCCCCCGAAGGGGGACTTTCATATAGGGAAACGTTGAAACGATACATGAACTAAAAAGTGAAGAAAAGTAAATTTCTATTAAAGAGAAGAACTATCACTTACTGTTGGTTTGATAAGTATTTGAATTTCAAACACGGGATGAAATGATTTCAAATTTCATAACCTCAAACAACATGCATAATTGGTTGCATACCTATGTGGCTTTGAGCATCAAATCGCAAAAAATATTTTATAAGTAGAATTGTCTCTAAAATTTAAACGCATTATTTTGTATTTAATATTAATAGTTTTGATTAATCGTCTATATTAATAATTAACAAACGAAAAAAGGTAATGTATAGTTAGTTGCATAGCTAATTAATTTTTTAGGACAATTTAAATTTATTTAAATTATTTTTTAAACAAAGAATCAATTATGCCAAAAATGTTTTCAGTTACAGGGGCTTCACTTTCGTGCTTGTTTTGCGACAACTCTTTCCTGACACTATGTTTCCCATTGATCAAAATTCTCTCAGCTTCTTTTTCTAAACTAATCTGAATCATCTGTTTATTCATAATTGGAACAACCAAATTAAACTTATCGATTTTTTTATTAATCAAATCGACGGTATTTCTCCGTTTATGCACAATTCTTGTCCAATCATCACTCTCTTCACTGTTGAGAGGAAAAGGACCTAAATAAGACCTCTCAATTTGTAAACAATTCCTCAATTCTTCAATCCCTTCTCTTATCTCTTTCTGCAACGTAATCCATTCAGGTGTGAAACCGTTATCTATTAGAACTTCATTCAGTTTGTGGGTCACAAAATCGACATAAGGATTTTGGTTTTGGTAATTTAGGGGTTTTCCAGATCCGGACAAATTACTAAATTCGCCTCGAGACATTGACTCTTGAATCAAGTCTTCAACGAGACGCTCTAACCCATACTTGGTTTTGATATTGTGTTTGAGGGGGGTTTTGGCCAAAAGAGCCCCTTCCTCGGCTGCCACTTTGGACATTCGGTGTTTCAAAACGTTTTCAGCTGCATGCATGGCCCGGACTTTAGTATACTGTTTTTGTCTTTGGAACTGATTTCCAAACCCGACCCCATCATAGCTCAAATATTGCCGATGTTGGGGGGCTGTGTGCTGCAAACTATAATAAATCAGGGAAAAACAAACTAAATTGAGAAAGACTTTAATGTCTTGCTCCTGGACTTGAACTTCATCCTCGATTTGACGCGATTTCTTATCAGTAAGGACACGAAAAGCCTTATCAATCTGAAAAAATTATTTAGAAATGAGAAAATCAAAGCAAGATAATTTTACTTGGGAAAATTTGTCCGCATCGGCCTCTTTGCTACCACTATCGGGGTGATATCGTTTCACTAGGTTCAAATAAGCGGTTCGGATTTGTTCCTGGTCACTGTCTTCAGAAATACCCAAAATTTTGAAACATTTCTAATAACAAAAAAACTCAAAATCGAGTCAAAAAACACTATTCCTTTACCTTGTATTCTAATAATTTGGCAAAACTACTGTAATTTGGGTAAAAAACAGCCAATTTGGGTCGTTCAAGTCGTAAAAAAAGAGCCATTCTGTAAATTAAATTTTGAAAATTGGCGCAAACACCTTGTATATGTTACAACCAGTGGTACCAAAAATCCCCACACGAGAATTACTTATTTAATTCTCAAGTAAAATTAAAAACAAATCAGTGTCTAGACATGAAAATTGCGCAATTTTGTCGTTAAATCGGGCACCGATCGGATCATTTGTCCACGTAATCGTTCACAAAGTCGATTAACTGTAAAATTTTTAGAAGCACTGACGTCAACAACGTAGTCTGTCAAAATGGCGGAGAAGAAGAAAGGAAAGAAACGTAAAGAGGTAAATTTGATTTGTTTTTGTGTCAATTTCGGTGTTTCCCATGTATTTTACTCAAAAAAACGCATTTAGTGATTGGTGAATTAGTAAAGTGCCGGTTTGGTGTTCCTCCCGATTGGTTAGTTGTCACAAGGGGGCTTTCAGTTGCGTTGTTTCGAGTAATTAGGTGACGTTGCGCTATTGTTGCTTGATCTTGTGAAGAACTCTCCGGAATTTTCCCCCAACGTCATTATAAGAAAAACTCAGTTTTCTCATGTGACACGTCAACAAATTATTCGAAACTTAAAGAAAATCACAGACCTGAATCAGTCGTGCGTTAATCGTATCTTTTCCCCCATAAAATCCTGTTCTTTTCTAATTAAAAACGGTTTTTACGTGTTAACTTAAATGACGTTTTGTTTTGGCATTTATGAGTTGGCAACAGTTGATTTTGACGTTTTGTAGGAGTATGTGGCTCCTGGAGAAGAAGTCGCTGATAAACCGGCAAAAGAAGAATTTGTCATCGCTAAATGGATGCGAAAAAATGTTCAAATTAAGAAAACAAAGTTTTTAAATCACAATGTCGAGTATTTCACAGGTAATTTGACTTAAAAAAAAAACTGAGCTAAGTTAGGAAAATTGTAGCTAAAAGAGCCGTTGACGCTCTTTTGGAGTCCAAATGGGCCCAAGGTGATGAGCCCCTGTTTAAGACACGTGAAGACATCGTCGATTATCTCCACTTGATGCTTGAACACAAGTTCTATCACAGGGCGAGAAAAGTACCAGTTTCTGAACAAGAACTGAAAGGTAAAAAGAAGGAGAAAAAGAATGAATCGGAGGAAAAGGAAAAATCTAAAGAAAAGGAAAAAGTAACAGACGCTGAGAGCAGTGTTGTGGAAGGAAAGGAACAACAGGTTTGTAAACTGTCAAAATTATTCATTGTTACCAACTTAATTAATGATTATTGCAATTTTGTTTTTTAAAATAGCCTGAAAAGGAGAAGAGAAAGAAAAAAGTCAGATTGGAAATGCACAACGATCAAAGATTCGTCGACGGAATGGACGCATATGTGTGGATCTATGACCCCATCCCTTTTCATTACTGGATTTTCGGTACTTTACTAGTTTTGGGGGCTATAGGTGTTTGTCTTTTCCCATTGTGGCCCCCTTCAGTGAGGTAATTGAGTTTTGAGTTTAATTTTCCGATTTTTAAGTTTAAAATTTCAGGTTGGGTGTTTATTATTTGAGTGTCGCTGCTGCTGGTTTTTTGGTAACAATTATCGTTTTGGCTGTGATTCGCCTTATAATTTTCTGTCTGATTTGGACGTTTACAATGGGGAAGCACCACCTTTGGATTCTTCCGAATTTAACTGAAGATGTGGGGTTTTTCGCTTCGTTTTGGCCACTTTATACATACGAGTATAAAGGAGGTGAGACGAAGAAAGATAAGAAAAAGAAGAAGAAAGATAAAGATTCGGACGGAGAACAAGAGGAAGAGAAGAGTAAAGAAGTGAAGAAAGATGAGGAAAAGTGAGTGGTAAATAAAATTTGTTCGAGTTGGTGATTTTTTTTTCCTCTAGAATTAGTGAGATTGGTAACGAGGGTGGGAGTCAGGTGGAGACGTTAGGAGCCTCCGAGACAGAGAGCGAGTCGAGTCAGAGGTCAAGTACGGGAAAAGATTTCGAAATAGTTGATCAAGACGAGTTGGAGTCTTAATTAGTTGGGTTAGTCGTACATTTCCGGTCTGGTGTAGATATTTTTTTTTAAATGATCAAAAGAGAATTTTCGCATTTATTATGATTTCGGGAAATTGTGTTTTTTGGTGCTATTAGAGAAATTGCCCATAATTTATTATTTTTCTCGAGTTTACTAATCTTCATTACTTGCATTTAGACAATTTAATCTCCTACCAAGTGTTTTCATATAATTATATTGATATACAGAAATAAAGAATATTGTATATAATTACAGAAAGGTCTTGTTACAAATTGTTCATCACTTTTCTCAACATTTGGTTACATAGGGCGGCATACGGATTCAATTCTACCAACTGTAATAAAAAACTTAGTTTCGACAAAAAAAACTAGATTCACACTTACTTGACTTTTGGCAAATTGGTTACCCATTTTGGCGGCAATTTCAAAATCATTTTTGGCCAATTCAAATCGTGATTCTCTTCGATGTAAAATACCGCGTTGGCAGAGTGCTTGCGATAGTGTTTTCTTCTGATTATCGCCAGACAACTCGATTGCTTTTGTCAAGTCGTTAAAAGCCTCTAACAAATTTTTTTGTTTTTTTTTTTTTCGTAATGTAATGTTACCAACCTGTAATTTTTTTTTGAAATTGGTAAACGTGCGCTCTGTTGTTGTAAATCGATGCTCGTTGGGGTGTGATTTCCAGGGCTTGATTCAACATTGTAATAGCCTCGTCGAATTTTCCGGTTTCGGCCAATTGCACGGCTTCAATTTCCATTTTTTTGGTTTTTTGGACGTCGGGAGTGTCCTCTTCGATGTCTAGAGTGGAAATTTTTAAAATTCTGAAATTGTCAATACAGTACTGACCTTGGAGTTTTGCCGCCTCCAACGAGTCACTTAGGGGTAGATTGGGGTACAAAATCGAATTAAGAATCGCAGTATCATGCTCACTCAACTCAGTCATTTTTGCAACTCATCCAATAAAAAACAAAATCAAGTAAAACAAGTTTATTTACATTTTTCAAAGGTCATACAATCACAGCTTCCAAACTAATTTATTATCTTCACCGATCCTAACTTTTCCTTTCGCCACCCATTCGAGTGCTCTGGGGAATGCTTTGTGTTCCGCTGTTTTGATTCTTTCAGTCAACGTCTCTTCAGTATCGTCCAGTTCAATAGGGACAGCTTCTTGTGTAATTATGTGGCCCCCATCCACCGCCTCCTCGACGAAATGTACCGTACAACCGCTTATCCGGACGCCGGCTTCAAGGGCCTGTTTCTGTGCGTGTGTGCCCTTGAATAAGGGCAAAAGGGCCGGATGGATGTTTATCAGTTTGCCCTTCCATTTCGCGGTGAATTCCCCGGTCAAAATACGCATAAAACCGGCAAGACAGATTAATTCAACTCCAGCATAAACTAATTCATTGTGAAGGGCGCGATCGAAGTCTTCACGATTAGGGTACGCCTTGTGACTTATGACTTTAGTGGGGATGTTGGCCCTTTCAGCCCTTCGTAACCCTTCAACGTTGTCTTTATTGGAAATCACTAGGACTATTTCGGCCCCAAGATCAGCGGTTTGTGTTCCATCGATTAGAGCCTGTAGGTTGGTACCACTGCCCGATATTAAAACACCTATACGCATCTTATTTGCGATTTTTGACACCAAAATTGGTACAAATGGTTTCATGCCAATTTCCATCACTTTCGAGAAGTTTTTAACAATGACTTGATCTGGAAAATGTGAGTTATTCGGGAGCAAAGTGTCATAGTCGTAGTTACCATCGGTTTTTTGAGTCACGTGACCGATTTTGACAGCTCCGTGTGATGACACTAATTTAGTGATTTCAGTTTCGTCTTTTGGATCAACAATTAAAATTCCCCCAACTCCGCAATTGAAAGTCCGGAGCATTTCAGCTTGATTTACACCACCTAAAACCACAATCCAAAATACAAATTTTAAATTTAGTGAATTTCAATACCTGCAGTTGCCAGCCATGCAAACACTTGGGGTATTTGCCACTGTTCCGCGTCCAATTCCACTCCAAGATTTTCCGGTAAAATCCGGGGAATATTTTCCGTTAAGCCTCCTCCGGTAATGTGTGCGAAAGCCTTGACTTTTCCTGTTTTAACAGCCGGAATGACACTTTTCACGTAGAGTTTTGTCGGGGTTAATAGTTCCTCGCCTGGGAATCACATATTAGTTTTAAATACACGATTTTTTCTACTAACCGAAAGTTTTGCCGGTTTTGCTAAAGGGGGCTCTGTCACGGTACGACACTCCCGCCAATTTCATGATTTTGCGAACTAGACTGAAACCATTACTGTGGACCCCCGACGATGGGAGGGCTATAATGACGTCACCGGCTTGAATGGACGCGATTCGGGGCATTAATTGGTCGCGTTCAACGGCGCCGACTGCGAAACCGGCCACGTCGTACTCGCCAGGGGGGTACATGTCGGGCATCTCGGCCGTTTCGCCACCTGAAATCAAAAATGAGTTGGCAACACTGAATCAAATCAAACGTCACAATTTGTTGCCAACTGTGATTACCTATTAGGGAGCATCCTGCTTGTCTGCACCCCTCGGCAACCCCACTGACGACCTCCTTGGCCACCTTGACATCTAAATTTCCACATGCGAAATAATCCAAGAAAAATAAGGGCTCAGCCCCATGAGCTAACACATCATTCACACACATTGCGACTAAATCAATTCCAATAGTGTCATGAATTCCCATTTCTTGGGCAATCTAGAAACACATTTTTAGAAAATTTTCTAATTTAAGTGAATTTACTTTGAGTTTAGTCCCAACACCATCAGTCCCTGAGACTAGCAATGGGTCTTTATATCCTGCCGCTTTGGTATCAAACAAGCCACCAAAACCCCCCAAACTCCCCATAACCCCAGAACGGTTGGTAGACTTGGCTAGGGGTTTGATATGCGAAACTAAGTCATTCCCGGCTGTTATATCAACCCCGCTGGCTTTATACGTGAGTTTGCCGCTGTCTAGAATCGCCCTAGGGGAATAAATGTCAATGTTTTAAAGACAGTTGGTAACACTTACCGTGAAATCCCTTTCTGGGCTATATCGCGTCTGAATTGTTTACCCTCGAACTGTATGACGTCACAAGCCTTAGTTGCTTGTGCTGCTGCTAAGGCTAATTGTGGGGCTAAGACCACAGCTATTAATACTCGTCCGCCATTGGTCACCAATTTATCTCTAAGGGCGGTGCCACAATGAAACACGACGTGATTGGTTCGTACATTAACCTCATCGATCCTAGTAATCACCTGACCTTTACTTGACGTTTCGGGGTATCCCCGAGATGCCATTACAACGCCAACTGCATGAAGGCCACTCTTCCAACAAAGATCAATCTTATCTAAATTACCGTTACAACATTCGCTCATCACTGTATACAAATCAGAATCAAGTAACGGAAGTATTACTTCCGTTTCCGGGTCCCCAAATCGACAATTAAATTCGAGGACTTTAACACCATGAGGTGTGAGCATCAAGCCGGCATAAAGCACCCCAACAAACTTGATTTTGTCCTTTTTGAAGCCTTCAACAGCCCGTTGAAGGACATTTTTCTTGACAAAATCGAGTTGGGAGGAGGCGAGAAGAGGACAGGGACAGTAAGCCCCCATTCCTCCCGTATTGGGGCCCTTGTCATTGTCGAAAATGCGTTTGTGGTCTTGCGCTGGCAACATTGGCTTGACAGTGTTGCCATCACAGAAAGCCAAAACTGAGACTTCTTCACCGGTGAGGAGCTCCTCAATGACGACAATGTCCCCAAATTTGGCTTGGATTTCGTCAACGGCGGCGCAAGCCTCTTGTTTGGAGGCGGCGACTACCACCCCTTTCCCGGCCGCCAAACCACTAGCCTTGACCACAAGCGCGGGAAACTCGGCACTAAAAACAAACTTAAATGTGTTGCCAACCCCGATGAATTAAAATACCTATTTATGAATTTTTTGGCTTCGTTTCCGTTTTTGAACGACTTCCAGCGGGCAGTGGGAATCCCATGTTTGTCCATAAAAGCCTTCGCCCAGTCTTTATCATACTCAATCCTCGCGCCGGCTTTAGATGGCCCAAAAACCGGGATACCATCATGGGTCAAAGCGTCCGCAATACCGTTCGCAAGTGGGTCTTCCGGACCCACAACCACCAACGAGACACTATTCTCCTTGCAAAATTTCGAAATAACCTAGAATAAAATTAGTTGTAGAAAAAAACAAATTATGTCACAATTGACATAACCTCACCTTGAAATCCTTGACATTGAGGTCGATGTTCTGTGTTTTAGCCACCTGTTGAATGGCGTAACTTCCAGGGGCGGCATAAATGCTCCTAACAAGGGGGCTCTGCGAGATTTTCCAAGTGATTGCGTGTTCGCGACCACCGCTTCCAATAACAAGCACGTTCTTTGACATGATGGTGGAAAATGGACTTGCTTTTGGTGGTTGCAATCACTTTTGAAATGTTTTCAAAGCGTCACTTGGTGTGAGGACCAATAAGAAAACGATGAGCGATAACCCACGGACCCCCTGGGCAGCTTTCAATTGGTAATAGTGATAATGAGGGTTAAGGTCATTTCGACAAATAACCAGCGAGAAAAATAAAGTTATTTTTCGTCACATGTTACAACAGAGGGAGATTTCTGAAATAAAAGTGACGATAACGGGAATGTTTCTTAATAAGTGTTCAAGGTCAATGATATACAGCCAGCCCGAAAATAAGTACTTAAATTTATTATTTCTGGTTTATTTCCTGAATTTTTGTCAGTTTGACAAATACTTAACCTCTTCTTGACATCCCATAGTAAAAAAAGTGTCTAAAGTAAAATTTGAAGTTTGGAAGTGTCTTTAGTAACTCATTTATCAGGTTGGTACTTATCCAAGTTGCAAAATATCTACAGTGTGGCTCTAAAAACTAGCTTTATTTTCCAATGTAATAAATAGATTGTAATTTTTGAACTTTTTTATTTGTTACATCGTTAAAATCTTAAAAATAACCCTTGTTACGTCACAGGTGTGACAACTTTCCCCGTCAAAATAACCAAATCTTTGGATTTGATGAAAAACATAAAGGGGCGATCGGCGGTGAAGAATTTTTTCACATTTGGTGGAATCGAATTAACACTGGATTTATCTAAAAATAAAAACACACAGGTCAAGTCACGTCAGGTGAATTTTTACCACTGTTATCGCTCGAATCCATTTCTAGCCCCATTTCGTTCACATTTATGACACATTTTTGCAAAATTAAATCAATGAAAGCTTCGCCTTTATTGTGAAAAATACCCTCGAGTTCAGCATCGCCGTTGAAAGCTTTGGCCATTCCTAACTAATAAATCCGACTAGAATTAAAACTTATTGGAGAAAAATGCAACTCACATATTGCAAAATCGGTTTAAAGTCGATCAAGGACTCGATTTTGAATTTCGGTAAAGTGACTTTGACAAGTTCGGGAGCGAAAGAGTTGGCCAAATAAACCTCATAGAGATGGGCCTCTATTAGAGAGATATCACTCGAAACTTTAGTTTTATCAGGGAGGACAATAATCATCGCTAGTGACTCCTCAACGAACCTCAATTCGATTAATTTAGCCCCCATTGAGTCGCTCTCGAAATAGTTAAATTGTCCGATGGTTTCCATCATTTCGACTTTGATAACATCAGTCGCACTCTTGTAAAAATCTTGACTTCCCCTAAACTGAAACGGTTTCAACCACCCACTTTTAAAAAACGCTGCACTCAACAAAACCATTTTCATATCCCGTGTCAACAAATTCTCATCATCCACCCATGTGTTGATTTTCTCCCCTGTTTGTTTCCTCACCCCCTCATTTATGCTTTTCACCGCTTCAGCTGCACTCGCAAAATTCACAAATTCAATATCGGCCTGAAAAACCTTCTTTCCAGTTGTGCGAAAGTCCTTTTTCAGGTTTAGGTTTCTTTGGAGGTACATTTTCGTGACTAGGTTTAGGTGGAAGTGGTCTGGTTGGGTGAGGGTTGGAAGGAGGGTTTTCCAGGCTGTTTCAGTGTCACGGGGGTGGTAGGGCAAGTGCAAGGCGGTGGCCATCTCCTGGGCTGTTTTGCTTCGAGCACCGCTGGCGGCGAAAGCAACGACGAGTTGGATGGCAAAAGGGCTGATGATCAGGTTTTCGGAGGTTTTGAGGAGCTGGAAAGGGAGACAGTAGAGGTGGGGGGAGGTTAGGGGACGTACCGAGTAGACATCGGCTGTGAATAGGTTGTTCCCCGAGACGAATTCTTGGAAAGCCACTTTGAAACGAACTTTGACAGGATCTTGACAAAAACAAAAAAATTTCAACATTCTAGCACCCAAATGACCAAAAACGAAAAAAATGTTACCAAGTTTAAATCTACAAAGAAACGTAAAATAAGCAAGAAAATTTTGAAAACAAATACCAATAATATTAATAAAAATACTTTCAAATCTGTTACCAACTTAAACAGTCCTAGTATGCAACCATCATTACACCGTGTCAGGAATGGCAACACTGAATCATTCAAATAAAAAAGTCGGGCCATTTAATAACAAAGTTTATTAATTTAATAGAAAATTTAAGTATCATAGCATCTCCAATCGAAAAAAAAACGCAAATGTGATGTAATCCTATTCGCTCTCGACCAAAAGCTCCTCGAACAGTCTTATCAAATTCTCGATTCCCTCCAGATAATTCTTATCAATTTGGTGTCTTTCGGCCGGAAAAGCATGAGCAAAATCAATCATTTTCACCGTCGCCCACAACTCGGACTTCTGTTCGGTGCACAACTCGTCCAAAATAAACGTATAATCTTGTCTTTTATTCTGCATGTCTTTGTCGTAGTCATTTTGGAACGAATGTGTCCGTTTTAAACTCCTGATCGACTTTTGCCACACATTGTTGCTCTTGTTTTTGGCTACGTAGTCATCGAATTGTTTCAGTTTTGTTGGAGATGTGGGAGTGCGCAAAATGGGGCCTTCTTTGGTCAACTGACCGCTAAATCCCGTTGAAATCTTCTCGTTGTAGAGAACAGCGAGACTTAGAGGCCGGTACAGGCTTGTAGATCGTTGTAGTTTCAAAACTGGTTTAGTGTCTGTCTTGAGCAATTCGCGGAGTCTCCGGGCGTCGTAAACGAGGAGGAGAGATGAAGAGTAGAAGTGGTAAGTGCGCTGTTTGCGGGCCCACATTTGAATTCGCCATAAACTTGCCAAAAATTGAACGATGAGACTGCGACAAGGCGGAGAAGTTTCGGCGTTGAGGAAAGTCTTCAAAGCTGTAAAATATTTCAGAAAAATTTCAAAATTTTGAAACGTCAGGTTGGCAGCATTTTACAAGATAATTTCAGACAATTTCACTTCATACAAAAATACAACATCAGTGTGGGTCAAACAAGGCAATTTTGGCCATTACACTTGAATAAATTATACTAATTAAAGAAAAAAGATGTTTTCTTTGATAAAGTGTCAGTTTTAATTTTATCACGTTGGCAGCGATATCCCGCTATCTTCAAACCGGTAAACAATAATTTCGAAATTTGTGTAATTTTTATTAAATTCACAATTATTATATATTTGAGTGATCCTACAATACAAGTTTTGTGTTTTAAAAACTTTAAATCATCAAAATAAATCCAACAGTGAAACGTGAAACAAATTTTTGATAGTAGGCGGCCTGGTAAGTCTTAACCTAACTTTTATATTAACATGAGACAGTTTTAATTATATTACTCAAAAACACGATTTTTCGTACGTTAGTTAGTCGGAAAGTGAAAACTTCCGTGTTTGTGCTCAAATAGAAATTAAAAATTAAATTTTTTGCTACCGTAATGTATGGTTGGTAGAATTACATTCCCTACTAAATCAAGTGGCAGCACTGTTCAATTTGACACTTTGACAGAAGTAATGGTGACGAAATAATTTTAAATTTCAAATTATTTTACTAAAAAACCTGTAAACTACATACAAAATGTGTGACAGTGGTTTGAAAAACTCTAATCTTTTCATTCTGGATGACTCCGAGTCAGAAAACCGGTCAAGTAAGTCCTAACCTCACTAACCTTGCGGAACGGTCTCCTTATTCAAAGTTTTTCCGTAATTCTTATCAAACTTGATCAATTGGTTGTTGTAAATTTGATAGACTTGAAAACCTGGGATGCAGAAGGCGAGATCGCGTTTCGAGTCTTGATATTTAGCCTAAATAACACGAATTAATTATTATTACTATCATCACGGATTACCCACCTCTTCATTTACGATTTTCTCGTAGGTGGCAGTGGGGTCCCAGGTTCTTCTCCCGATTTTAATATCCATGACGCAGGGCTCTTTGTAATGTTTCGTCAGATCTTCCAAAACTATGCACTCGATATTTTTACCCTCGATGGGCACTTTAACGGTTCCGAAGTACTTGGGGATGAAATCCTTCAATTCTGTTCTTGTTTTATCAGTGGCTTGATTAACTTCTTCGTAAAACTCGATCTCGCGTTGACCACATTTCGGTTTGGTGATGGGTTTAAGTACAGTGTCGTTGTGTTTAATCATACCTTTTTTGCAATATTTCAATCAGTTTCATCTAATTTTTTTGCATAAAAAAACTCGTTACCGTATTGTTTTCCCTTGATCATATGACCTGCAACTTGATTTTCAAACAGTTGCATATCGGCAGGGATCTCTAGATTCTCTTCATTTTCTTCCATTGGATCGAGGAGCGAAAAAGCGGCCGTTTTGCAACCCGCAAACAAACTGTCTTGTTTATGGATTGGCATTGGTACGACTTCTGATTTTCCCATTTTTTTCAAGCTTATCTGATTGGCTGAAACAACCATAAATGTATGATAAAATGCGATAATTAAGCCGGGGGTATTAACGGAAATGAGGGTTATCTCATACACTTTTTACTAATTTATTGAAAGGAATTAGACAAGTGATAAAAATCGAAGCAATTTTCCATTTCGAGTCGGCTATGACCTATCAAATGTTACTTTTGTTTATTTTTTTCTCATCATCTAATTCACACGCTGCAACTTTCAATTTCTCACGGCCAAAATTTGATGCGTATTTCAAACAAAATTTCTAAATGTATTCCTTGTTGGGTTTAATATTAGTTGGCCGTGAAATTAACAAATGACAAGTTATAAGATGCATACTAATTGTTTTATCATGGCCAATTGGGGAAAGAAATTTGTGGGTGTCAAAATAATAGTTGGCTGTTATTTTACACGGCCTTCTGGGAGTTTACGGCTATTTTAATTATAAACAAAGATTTTTATCGATTAAACAGTCACTTTTAGCACATAATAACACGATTATTGAGTGTCTTATACTTATCATAACAATCGCTCAATTGTTAGTTTAACGTTTCAAGATAAACGTTTCTAAATTGCATAATAAAATGCAATGTTTATTCAACAATACATAGTTGACCCTTGAATAATTTCGTTAAGGAATTTTCATTATCGGGGCCGAGATAAATATTTTCCAACAATAAAAGTCACTAGTTGGCAGGATGAAAGAAAATGTCACCTTGATGACTAAAGCCAAGTAATAAATTTTCCCTCGAAGAGAGACAGATAAAAAAAATTAAATTTTCCAGTGACATAATTGGGGAGCCTTAAACTTGACTTGAATTAAATTTATTAGGGACAAAGTTTGCAACACTGATTCCTATACACTTTCTAATAACTTTCGCAGAATACCCGGTAAAAAAATTGGTGGATTTAATAGGTCACAAGCTCTTTTTACAAATATTTGCAATTATCACAACCGTTAGGTGTTTATTCGGAGGTCAAGAGCCCCTTCATGAATAAATAAAAAAAATTAAAAAAGTGATATACACAAGTTCTAATATTTTTAGAATAGAGAGTGATTCACTTTCTTCGAAAATACAACCCGATATTTAGCCAAGTTTGGCATTTTGTCACATTTAACTTAATAAACAACAAACTTTAATATTACAAAACAATTAAAAAAAAAATGTGGTTAGGTGTGTTAACATCAGGCACAAAAACCACTAACCTACTCAACTTCGAACCAAAATTTGCGTATTTTGTAACCAAATTTGCACAAAGAGCACTGCAAGATGTTCATTTTATTTAAAAAAAACCGTTTTGGGTGAATTTTGAACCGTCACAGTGAACAAAAACACGTCACTTTGATTTGTGCAAAATTTGACACCTCGATGAATTATTTATACGCCAGGGGGCGCATGCGCAGCGCCGCCAACTACAGAAGTAAAAAATTCAAAAAATCCCACTCGAATCGAAAAGTGGCGGTAAATTTAAATTGCACAGTTTATGCGGTTAAAAGGTTGTCGTCTTGACGTCACAACTGTTTTATTAGGGGAATTACTCGGTGTTTTACCTCCCACACAAACATAAAAACACCACTCTACCAATTATAAAAACTTAAACAGGATATTGAGTGTGATTTCACGGAAATGTTATCAACATTCGCACCCACGTGTTAATTGTTATTTCAACCGGAAATCGCGAAAGTTTATTTACTCGAAAAAATCGTGTACTCACCGCTAATTTGCTCAATTTCTGTGCATATTTTTAAGTTGTCCTTCACTCCACTTTAAGAACACACATTAAAGATGTGTTTTTATAGCGACAATACGCCGATAATAAAACCAAACTGACTTTTTGCGACTCGTGAGTGGAGACCTTTTCAATAAAATAAATCACCGTTTACGAAAATAGAACGGCATGAATGACATCTGATCGAACCTTCGCGTCTTTGCCAACAGTATTTTGCGTAAACAAATCAATTAAAAAATGTTTATTATTTGATTAAAATACATCGAAAAGTTATTATTTAGTGTATTTGTAGAACCCTTCGCCGGTTTTAACACCTAATTTTTTCTCATCGACTAGTTTTTGTACGGATTCGTTCGGGACGAAAAGGGGGTTGTCGGGGAATTTCTTGTGCCAGCCTTGCAAAATGGCGTGCGAAGTGTCGTGGCCGACATAATCGGCTAGTTCGATGGGGCCCATGGGGTAACCCGCACCCAGCTTCATGGCGATGTCGATGTCGCGGGGCGAGGCATCACCTAGAAAAAAAAAACACTAAATTTTAATATCAATATTTCAATTTTCAAACCTAAACCGAAAAAAAAACTGATCAAAGTGCCCTATGCCTTTGAAATTAAGTTGGCAGCCATAACTGTCAGATTCAAACGTCACATTTTTATAGTTAATTGTCATTCATTATTGACGGGCGGCTCCTAACATGGGCCGTCACTGAACACCAATAATTCGGGCTTGCCAACCTAATTTCAAACTCACCACTCACTTCTGAGATTTTTCATTTACTTTTAAATTTTCATTTTTTGTGAATTTTACCTCGTTCCATCATCCTGATGGCCTCGGCGACATAGGGCACCAAAAGCCTATTCACAATGAACCCTGGGGTGTCCTTGCAGGTGACGCAGGTCTTGCCCACGGCTTTGCCCCACGCCATGAAAGCCTCGTACGTTTCCTGCGACGTCTCAGACGTTCTTACCACCTCAAGTAGTTTCATAACTGGCACCGGATTAAAAAAATGCAGCCCCCCGAACTTATCCTTCCTTTTCGTAACCGAAGCGATTTCAGTAATGGACAAAGAGCTTGTATTTGACGCAAACATGGTTTTCGGGGGCGCAACTTCATCTAAATTCTTGAAAAGTTTATGTTTAACATCCATGTTCTCGACGATAGCCTCCACGACCAAATCGCTGTCTTTGACAGCTTCGGCGATATCGGTGCACCCCTTGATGCGGGCCTGCGACTCGCTTACGAATTTATTAGCGGCTTGGGGGTCATCCTTGTGGAGTTTTTTAGCGACTCGGGCCAAGTTCTTGACGATGCTGTCTTCGGCTTTTTTGATCAAATCGGGGTTGACTTCGACGATGGTGACATTGTGGCCGGTTTGAGCGGCCACCTTTAAGGGGGCGAAAGTTAGGTTAGATTTAGGGGAGTTGGGAGGATACTTACTTGGGCGATTCCTGAGCCCATGAGACCGCCCCCGATCACAGTTACGTTTTTTATAACTGCGTTCATTGGACTTGAAGTTGAAAGACTTCGCTTTATGACGAGATTTAAGGCCATTTTTCGGGTTAACACACTTTAAATCGGCGACTCGAGAGAAAAATGGTGTGTAAAACGGATATTATTTGGTTTAATTAACTATAAAGGTGAAAGTCCAAGTTTGTAACCTATGATCGTCTCCCTCCCACCGGTTTGTGTACTTTTTTATCATTTATGGCGAGATTAGGGCTATCAAAAAATGAAAATCATCATGTCGATGGTTTAAAAATAATCTCTTTTCGATAACACGTGCGACTTTTGTACCTGAATTCATTTATTACGTAATAAAACTGCAAAAACATTCAAGATTACAGCAAGACCCCCATTATTAGACCATCCATTTCAAAGTGGTTATGCAACCAACAATACATATGTGGGAAGTCAGTTGCATCGTAACAAACTGTCAAATGTCACAAGAATAAATTTTCGTAACAAAAGTAATTTATTTCGTAAAAAAACTACAACTTATTCTATTTTCAACAATGGTTAATGTGATGAAAGGCGTTTTGGTCACCTGGTAAGCCCCTAAAGCTTTTTTTAATCTTTTATATTACTTAACCTCAATCTATATAATCCAAATCTTCCGGAATCCCAAACTGCTTATTTAGGACCTTATCTTCGATCATAAACTTTTTTTTACACCATGACTTCACTGCGAAGATATTATCAGTCCATCTATTTGCCGCGTCTTTCACATTTTGTGTCTCACTTTTCATTAATTTTAAGTCTTGAACATCTTTGCAAGACTTGTATTGAGATTCAAGTTTTTGTTTGAGTTCTTGTAATTTTTCAATTTCTTTCAAGATTTCCTTGGTTTCATCGGAATTTTCTTTCTCTTTCTCGGCTTTTTGAACGTTTTCGTCAATTAATTTCAATTTTTTCGTTGACGCTTCTAATTTCGTTTGAAGATCGTCAAAATTGCGTTTTTTCGCATTTACTAATTTGCTGTAATTGGGGAAAAAACGGGTTTTTGTCACATCAAAGTTACAATTTTACCTGGGGAATGCCCAAAAGTAAATGGACCCCCCTATCTTATCCCTGTCAACAGAACCATCATCCACCAAAGCTTGGAGCACTTCTTTGACAGAATTCGCTGTAATTCCTTTCTCCTTAGGCGCAATTACTTCCAATTCTTCCAAACGATAAAAATCTCTAGTCTCGTAAAGCAATTGCAACATTTTAGCCTTTTTCTCTTCAAAACTTAAACCTTTTTTGGGCATTTTCTCCTAAAAAATACGTTGTTTCAGTGACCAAGCCATGAAACAGTTTCTTTTATATTTGGATGAGACGACAAAACTTGGCCGAAAATTCATAATTCAGGATTTAGATGAAAATCATTTATTTATTTCAGCCGATATTTTGGAAACGTTACAAGCAAAAATCGACGATTTAATGGATCAAATAAGCTTCCCAGTCGCCGAAAAAAGCAATTAAACATAAGTTAGGTTATGTCATATTGATGTGGTTAATTTATAAATAAAACGTGGAATAACTATGAAATGACGTGTTTTGTTATAAATAATACAGTTTTTAACATTCATACTTACGAAATAAGGCACTAATTAACTATTTATTTTAAATACTGACACAACAGCGCTATCTATAAAGTGACGATAATACAGTTTCCTATATTTTGGAAGTGCTTACAATTACATACGTAAACAATACTCAGTCAGTTACTACCAATTCCGTAATTACTTTAATTTTTACAAAAATTAATTAGGCAAGATTTTAACATTGATAAAACAGACGGTACAAGTTTTTTTAAATTAGTTTTATGTGACAGTGACGTAACTCTAACCACACGTCAAACGTCACAAATAGACTTCTTTGGTTATGTTCCGTTTGTCAAAGTTATAAAACCGAAAAACGAGTGTCTCGAGCAATTTCCGCATCAGTGCATTTTCCCCTTATCATGACGGTGCCCACCCCTAACGAGAAACTCCTCACGAACGGTTCCACCATCCCCAAACGCCAAAACGGATCAAAATCAGGCCTTATGAAACTGTCAAGTTACGTATTGGCCCTACGACCATGGTCTTTAAGTGCGAGTCTCATGCCCACTCTGTTGGGCTCCACAATTGCCTACAAATACCCCGGAATCACCGATTTCAATTACGCCACTCTCCTCCTCACAATCTTCACCGTAGTGTCGGTACATGGGGCCGGAAACGTCGTCAACACCTACTTCGACTACGTCAAGGGTATTGACAACCGGAAATCGGACGACCGGATTTTAGTCGACCACATTTTGACCAAAGACGAGGTTGTCTCATTGGGGGCGCTTCTGTATTTCGCCGGTTGTGTGGGGTTCATCCTTTTGGCGGCATTGAGCCCCGCTAAAATGGAACACTTGGCTTTGGTCTACTTCGGGGGGCTGTCGTCGAGCTTCCTCTACACGGGAGGTATAGGCTTCAAGTATATTGCCCTCGGGGATGTACTTATTTTGATTTTGTTTGGCCCCATTTCGGTGCTTTTTGCCTTTATGTCGCAAACGGGCCGAGTCGAGTGGGCTACGATCTATTACGCAATCCCTTTAGCCCTCAATACTGAGGCTATTTTACACAGTAACAATACGAGAGACTCAGAATCGGATAAAAAAGTCGGAATTGTGACTTTGGCGATTATTATCGGTCACACTGCCTCGCATGTCTTGTATGCGTTTTTATTGTTCACTCCGTATATTATGTTTATGGTGGCCTCGTTAAAATACTCGAAATGGTTCATGTTGCCTCTAGTCACGCTTCCTAGCGCTTTTAAAATCGAAAAACAGTTCAGATCCAACGATATACACAGTGTGCCCAAAAAGACTGCCAAATTGAATTTGTTTTTCGGTGTTTTGTATGTTCTGGCTTGTAGTCTAGTTCCGGCGTTGCCGTATGTTACAAAAAGATAGATATACGAGCTTTTATTAGTTGTATTTATTTGTATTAAGTTATTTTTTACTGTGTTGAGGAATTGTGTCAAATGTGGTCACTAGTGGGGGTTTGCGACTTGGTTGCGAGCCAAGTCGCAAACACTTATTTTATTTGTTGCTACGAGATTATTGTACTTATGACACTGAAACCTAATCAAGTGATTGGCTCTTATTTAGTCCCTAATTAGCCAATTATAAAACATGTATTTTTATAGCTGATCAGACTTAATTTATTGTTAATGTTGATGAGTTTTTGTATGACGAGATTTTATAGTAAATAATTATAATTTTCATTTGTTTTTATTTTGTGTGTCTAGACTAATATTAAACGAAACGCTTGGTAGTAGTAGGCGGCGTCAAATTTGGGGGCGCTGCAATCGCATCTCTTCCAGTCACTGCTCAGACTACTTCAATTGACAATAACGGAAAAGTCTGGTAAAATATCAAATAATTTATTGGTAGTGTGTGGGTTGGTACTCCTGACGGGCTTGTTTGGGGCTTATGACTTAATCATGTTTTCAAAGCGCGTCAGGTCAGCCTTGAGCACAATTTTCGGTAGTGATAATAGCACAATCATAGCATAAAAATCGGTTGGTCTAGAGGGATTTTATAGGTTTGTTCCAACATCTCACACAACGAATTAAAACTTGTTGGAACAAACTTCTACTTACCGAGACAGTATTGCATGAATAGAGCTTTTACGAAACACATATCTGTTGTTTTTTTTTAAATAAAATTTTATTGACCCATTACATACAAACTAATCTAAGTTTTTTCATATAAAAAATTTTTGCTTTGTTTCTCATTACAAATAAATTTGATTATTTCGGTGTCTACAAGCTTTAACCTAAAATTATCTAGAAAAAAGAAACAATCAAATTTGTTTGCACTAACAATTAATTCGATTAGATGAAAAAAATGTACATCTCACTTTGCGTTTTGTATAATTATATACAAAAATAATCCACCGGATTGGGGGAAAGTCAAAAGTAAGTTACTGAACAAAAAAAAAAGCAATTTGGCAGTATGAATTTAAGGAACAAATGCAGAACGAAACGAGATTCTTTCAGTCTTCCTTCCTTCCGGTCGAAAATAAACTCAATTTAATCCAAAAATTATATTTATACCAAAAAATAATAAAAATTAATTTGCCGAACGTGTCTTTTCTGATTTCCATATCCTAATTCTTTCCTTCAACTCATTCACTGCAACATAGAAATTTTAAATTCCCCTAAAATAAAACAAGAGACTAACCTGGTTGCAACATATCTTCAGTCAACGGTTGTCGATTAAACGGATCAGTACTACTATTCAACAAATGTCTCATTATCACCGACCTATCCATGACTTGCCCACTGGGTAACAACACAGGATCAGTCATCAAAGTATCCATCAAGGGATCCTTGAACTCGTCAGGAGCATCACTCATCCAATCATCACTTTTCTGATTATTCTGATACACGTGAAACGCCTTATCAGCCAAAGCTTTAAACCGCTCAATTTCAACCGGAGTCTTGATCGATAACCGTTCTAGTCGTGCCGCTGCATCATTAAACAATTCTTTCCGGAAAGATCTCTGTAATAATTCATACAATCAAGACGGACCGGACCGCAGACTAAACACACACTCACCTCATCACCAGCCAACGCAGCAGCAAATTGCTCACAATCCAAATGCAAATAAATGTCAACCAATTGACTCAATAAACGACGAGGTTCCCATCCGTACTTGTCCGGATTTCTCACTTTTAAATTTTTACATTTCGGTCCACACAATTGTTGCAAATTAAAATTAAGCATTGATGCTAATCTATCGACAAGTTCCGGTCGCAAAAACGGCTCTTTAATATCAACTGTTAAATAGTGAAACATATCGACAGTTTCACGAGCTAAAGTCAAATAGGATCGACATTGTCTTTCATCGGCTGTCAATTGTCTCATTCGACTCTGTTGTTGTTCTGAATTCATTTTCGACCATTTCTCTTCGTCACTTATCAACTCTTGCACTTCATGGATACGTTTCAAACTTTCTAGACTTTCATCCAATAGGAAAGTCGTGTCGTTCATCAACATATTGACGAATTTGACGAATTGTTTCCCCGATTTTGATTCGTTGACAAGTGTTTGACGATGTATCGCCGAATTCCACATACCTTTAATTATCAAACTGATGTGATAACGAATTGAAAATTTGTCGTAAAATTCAGAACTCGAACCGGTCGTTTCAACATCAGTGTAAAACTTCATTAACGCACTTGGTAATACAGTTCGTGATATTTCATGCGACATAAACCTATCATATAACATTTCGCAACGGGGTTGAAACGTTGGTATTATAATAAAAACGACTTCGACCAGTTTCGCCACCAAATAGGGATTTTTTATCATATTAGATGAACAGATAGTCACTAATAACCACGTGATTAGTGAATCTTCCATGTTTTCCGTAATGACAGTTGGGAAATATCTTAAAAATTTCAATTCGATTTGTCTTATTTTTAAGTCAAGATCACTTACGGTAAGGCAAATAAAAGAAACTCGGCTATATCCTCAACATACCATTCGGGTAATGCCGAAAATGCTTCGGGTACGTTCGGTGGCAGTGGTAGACTCGGCCCGGGACTTCCCGGTGGTGTATTTGTCATCAAACTCAACAAATATTGAGCAACTGAAGTGTAAAATATCAAAGCACGTCTCATTAGATTCTTATCTAGTAGTCCGGCATCAGCGCATGCTTTTGATCTACGAAAAAAAAAAATTATTTTGATTGTTTCACCAAGTGATTATTTTACTTGTTTAATTTTTTCAATTGTTGTTTCCATCGTTTAATAAATTGTTTGTTACGATTGGCGAATGGTGTGTTACGCCATTGGGCTTCCGCAGCCACCGTTTCGTCGAGGAGTTTTTGTAGATCACGAATGGCGCGAATGCGACGTTGGTATTTCTGGAGTGCGGGGAGGAGGGCGAGATGATGGCAGTGGAGTGTCAAGAACCAGCAAATGGTCGAAAAGTTGGGTGTTTGGAATTGGACTTTTTCTGAAAAAAAAAAAAAAAGAGTCAAAATTGCGATATTTTCTTGTTTAAAGTCAATAACAAAAATCACGTTTTTGCACAATTCATAAAATTATGAAATTAATTTTTATATTTTTATTAATTTTTGACCAACTTTCAAATAAATTTCAAAGTGACCTTAAATTTTAAATTTGACAACACTGTATTAATGGTGATATCAAATCGTGTTCGGTGACGGCCATGCCAATGGCCACCCCTCGGAAGTGAATGACAAGTGAATATAAAAGTGTGACGTTTGACTTTGACAGTTTATACAGGGTGGGGCATCGATTACGCGCAGAAAAGAAATCACCACTTCTAATTAAATAAAATTGTTGAATTTTTTCACACTTACATGGTCATTAGTAAGGTACATTCTCAAATTTTTTGGTAATTTTTCATTTACAAACAAAGCCAAAAAAAAGTAAAAACCAATTTTCTCCCAAAAAGTTTTATTCTAATTTTTATACTGGCCTACGCAGATTTACTTCCTACAATTGTTTACAAAATCAGAAAAAAAATACCAATTAGATTTTGAATTAAACGCAATTACTTTGAAAATCATTTTTATTTATGACCTGCCACTAAATTTAGATGACAATGGGGAACTGCAATTGGGGTAAGATTCCAAGGTTTACAACAAAAAGACCCTTTAAAGCGGTCGGCTACCAGTAAATGATTCTTTTGTTGGCAAATTATACCATTTTGTCATAAATCACGGGTCTGGTTTGTGTTTAAATAAAAAAAAGCGATTATTTGGCTAACCAAGTCAAAATTTGAAATTGTGATGTCAAAGTTTGATGCGCTGAAAGGTACAGATTCATTTAGTGTAAATTAACAGAAAGTATTCATAAAACACACAAAACTGTTACGGACTCATTTATTATGAAAAAAAAATTAGAAAAATTCTCAAATTATACCCTATCAATAATTAGTTACGTATATGAAATATCGCCAGTTTTAATTAATTTGAAGTCGCGATTTATCAAGTGCGCCTAATCGATGCCCCACCCGGTATTACCAACTTAATTTGAAAGTCATAGGACACTTGGATTTATTAATTATTATTGTTTATTAATTATTAAAACTATGTTGGGTGGTATGGTGGTAAAAAGGTTTTTTAGTTTAAAATTCTTACCCAAACTCTCCAGCCACGTGGCGACATCTTGCGACGTATACTTCAACCTCGTGTCATTTTTAATACAAATCAAACTCTCGGAATGAAATGGATACAAAAAATCCATCTTATCCAACTTAATCTTCATCGATAACATTTGCAAAACACTTAACAAATTCAACATAAATCCATCACCGGCCAATGACCTCTCCTCCATTTGCAATTGTGCTCGTTTCTCGTTATATTTCAACACTTTTGCTAGATAATTCAAACATCCATCACGACTTTCAGGATTCGCTAATAAATAATGAAAAATTCTATGTTGTAAATTCCTGGTATTTTCCAATTCTAATTGAAGTGTATGATTTAAACTTTTATCGCTGGAGGAATTCCCCGAGAAAAATTTCTCGGCAACTTTCGGTTCATCTTCGGCAAACACCGACACGGATAGAAACGGTCCAAGAAACGATGTTCGGACAATTTCACGACCTTGCGCCGGCGTACACGGTTCCAACATGAATTGCACTTGTTTGGTGATTAGTGTACAGATGGGGCGACTACCACATCGTATATCAGCCAATTCAAATAAAGTTTGAATGGGCATACGATGCTCCTCGCCTACTATACTCGCATTCTGCATCATTCGGTAAAGTCCCTGAAGTAGTGGCGAGAAAACCGATGAGAATAATGCAGAGTTTGTGTGTGTTCGTGTCACCAATTCGGTGAGAAAACCCCTTGGGAGAGTTTGCTGTAAAATGGGGGATAAAAGTGGCGAACGCCCGAATTTATACAACTCGTCATTGGGTATAATATAGCCTTGAAGTAGTAGCGTGGTATAGTGCACCAATTGGGCCCGAATTTCCGTCAAAATATCACTCAACGGGGGAATACTCGACCGCTTCGGATGGTTTCGTTCCTCAACGCTGACACGATTATAACAATCCATTAAATAATTCAATGCTAGATTAAGCGGCGTCTCGGACACTTCCACACGTTTGATTGGTAATGTCGGTATTGGACAAGAGGTGTGACTTGGACTGGGGGAAGGACTCAACGAATTTATACTACTTGTATCTGCAGTATCATTGATTTGGACCAAGTCTTTAAAAGGGTTATTGCCTTGTGAGATTTGTACGACAATTTCCATCACTGCATTTGAGATTATATCACGGATTGAGGTTTGAGGATGGGTTTTTATATCAATGCCGGTTTGAGGAAGATAAATGCAACTTTCAGATGGTTGCTCGAGTGTGGAATGAAGGATACGAAGAACTGTCGCTAAAACTTGCTCTTCAGTGATTTCCGTCACCGAAGATGATGTTCGTTGACGAGGAGCGTCTTTCTTCTGGACGTCGGTCTCGTCCACCTGAAGAAGTCGTTGATTAATTTGTCATTGTTTTCAAAAAATTAAAACACTAAACAATATGTTTGAATATTCGATTGTTTTTAAGAAGCGACTAAGGTTACAACATGTTTTGTTGCGTTTTTCGAAATAAAAACACTCTAAACTCGTATTTTTGTGCTTCCTTTGTTTACGTTTTAAATAAGGAAATGTCTGTTATTAATTAAATTTCGGACGCAACTGTCACATTTTTTTTTAAGATTGCTTTCGTAAATGAGTGATATGTCTGAATTTAAAAACGTCATTTGGTAACAATACTGCCAACATTTTTGTAATGTCATTTTTTACACTAAAATTAGAAAAGTTTTTTTCTTGGAAAGATGAAAAAGGAGGAAAATGGAAACTCTAATATGTGCTTGTAATTAATTTTTTTTTGTTTCATATTCATTTGTCAGTTTTTAATAAATTAAAACCGTAAAAAGGATCAACTGTCGAAAAAACCAATTCCCAAAAATCTAGTGACTAATAAAACAAATTTGACAAAAAAATAATGTTTTTAACAATTGTCAAATTTTGACATTTGATGTTTCCAGTAAGTCAAAAATTTTGAATTTTAAGAACGATCCAGTTTGCTATGACCCACTTGTTGAACGTACTTATAAAAATAAATTCCCTAAAAAATCCTTTCATTATACAGAGTGGTTATAAATGATTTTCATCTAGCCAGCTGTGAATTTTCCATGTAAAATAAAAATTGCCGCTTTACAAAAATAGGGGTACCTACTTGTTTTAACCGAAAATAAAAAAATCGCCTTTTACTAAGCTTCCACTTCGAAAATAGACTTCAATTATAAACTTGTTTTCCTCCAAAGTATACACTATTATCAATTATTATTGGAAATTAGTTAAAAAAATAAAAGTTTAATTAAAATTATTATTAATTAATTAATTAATAAGTGACACTAATGACAGAACTAGAGCTTTCAAAAAAGTAGAGTGGCACAAATAAAGTTACATGCAAAAAAAAATCCAAAGCTGGCTAGATGAAAATCATTTATAACCACTCTGTATTATATTTGTTATATTAAACAATATGTTTGAATATTCGATTGTTTTTAAATGGCGCGGAAGCGACTAAGGTTACATGTTTTGTTGCGTTTTTCGAAATAAATACACTCTAAACTCGTTTAATTGCTTTATTTTCGTGCTTTGCTTACGTTTTATACAAGGAAATGTGTCATTAATTAAATTTCGGAAACAGTTGTGTCTAATTTTTTTGTAAAAAATGTAGGATTTTTGTCATAATGAGTCATTTGTTTAGATAGTTAATTTAAAAACGTCATTTGGTACAATACTGCCAACATTTTTGTAATGTCATTTTTACATGACTGCTTTTTAGGCACATTAGTTATTTTTATCAAAATTGAAAGTTTTTACTTGGAAAGATGAAAAAGGAGGAACAGAGCAAAAATAGAAACTCTAATGTGCTTTGTAAATTCGAATTTTTTATTCCATATTCATTTGTCAGTTTTTAATAAAATACAACCGTAAAACTGTCGAAAAAAAACAATTCCCTAAAATCTAGTGACTAATAAAACAAATCTGACAAAAAAATAATGTTTTTATCAATTGTCAAATTTTGACATTTGATGTTTCCAGTAAGTCTAAAATATTGAATTTTAAGAACGATCCAGTTTGCTATGACCCACTTGTTGAACGTTCTTATAATAATAAATTCCGTAAAAAATCCTTTCATTATATTGTATTAAATTTATTATATTAAACAATATGTTTGAATATTCGATTGTTTTTAAATGTTGTTTTAATTTTTTTGTTGCGTTTTTCGAAATAAAAACACTCTAAACTCGTTTAATTGCTTTATTTTCGTGCTTCCTTTGTTTACGTTTTATACAAGAAAATGTATGTCATTAATTAAATTTCGGAAACAGTTGTCTAATTTTTTTGTATAAAATTTAGAATTTTTGACATGAGTCATTTATCTGGATAGTTAATTTAAAAACGTCATTTGGTACAATACTGGCAACATTTTTGTAATGTCAAAATTGGAAAAGTTTTTTTTTGGAAAGTTGAAAAAGGAGGAAAATAACAAAAATAGAAACTCTAATGTGCTTTGAATTTTGAATTATCCTTCCACATTCATTTGTCGGTTTTTAATAATAAATTCAAACCGCAAAACTGTCGAAAAAACCAATTCCCTAAAATCTAGTGACTAATAAAACAAATTTGGCATAAAAAAATGTTTTTGACAATTTGATGTTTCCAGTAAGTCTAGAATTTTGAATTTTAAGAACGATCCAGTTTGCTATGACTCACTTGTTGAACGTACTTATAAAAATAAATTCCCTAAAAAAAATCCTTTCATAATCTTGTTTTGTTTGATTTAAGATAATGTAAGAAACAGAAAAATAAGAGAAAAAGTTTATAAAACACCAAAAAAATCAAAATTAACGCAAAGAATGGTGAATTTTCACGTAAAATTAGTTTGAATGAAATTTCCACGTGGTTCATTTTTAGGTCTCGCAGTCTATTAACCCGATATAAATATCACGTGACCTTGAAGGTTCAATACTGAAATTTTTAGTAACATCAAATATAAAAATAGAGAGACAAAAGCAACAAAAAAACATGTTGATTGCAACAACTCGGAAAAAGCTAAACAATAAATATTTATAATTTTTCTATTATTGAAAACGAGTTTTTGCGCTGTTGCTTCACATGTTTCAAAACAAAGGAAATTACAATGCAAAATGATGACTTGTCCCAAAACAGTCTCACCTCCATATTTTCGAAGCCCGAGTCGATGTCCGTGTTAGCCCCCGCCTTATCGGCGCACCCGCTTGCCTCGTCCACTTCCATGTGTATGGAACTCGTCTCCGAGTCGCTTCTCTGGGGCGGCATCCTCCGACTTTTCGAGCTCGAGGGCATGTCAATGGGCTTACTGGGCACTTGGAACACCCCCTCGAATTCCTTATCGTTGCGTTTCTCGCCGTAGGGCTCGATGGGGGTGGTCGGGGGGCTTTGTTGGACCGCATTGCTCGGCGATTGTGATATGGGGGTGACGGGGGGCGAAACCGAATTGGAGGGCGAGACGTTATCCAACACTGCAAGTCGGGCTAAGCGCCGTCGACGCATCTGGAAATTTTCAAGGGGATTTTACTGATAACGAGAATTTAACCTCAACTCACCTCTTCCTGCGATAATTCGCTCATTGTGTTTGTGTGGGGGTTGTTTGACGCTTTCGAGGGAGAATAATGACGGGAAATTCACAGTTTTGATCAAAATGAAAAGTCAATCACCCTCAACAGCTGAGTTACTAATTTGACATTAGAATATTTGCGAATTCCCACTCAACATCTTTGTTTTGTCACAGTCTAACCTAACAACTCGATAACTGAGAACTCGCGTTGTCTCACTTCTACTTATCTTAGGCTCAATCAACTGTCTCACTTTACGTGACTGCGCACGCACTTTATTTTCACAAGACTGGGGGAAAAATGATTTCTATTTTAAAATTTGCACTTGGCCGTCAAATCTCTTTGTTTTCACGACGTATTTTTATTACGTTTCTTTCTTGTATTTTATTAATCAGCAGAATTTACAAACACCTGTCAAAAAACAGCCCGTATTTAGGCAACACATTATACAGCACAAGTGCGTTAAATACAATTTTATCCCCCAAAACACGTGCCAAAAAAACAACTTTTACGTACTTGAAACGGTTTATTAAACATTGAGAGTTTATATTTACACATTTGAGGTCATCATGACTGAGCAAAAAAACAACACAGACAGCTTTTTGCGTCTCTTTGTAATAAAGTCACTAACTTGGGGGAAGATTCTATTTTCGTATTGATCGGTGGTTGTTTTTTGTGTTTATTATTTTATACACAGTGTGATCCTAAAAACGCGCAAATTTATCAAGTGGAAGTTTTGACCTAAAATGCAATTATCATCTAATTTCTCGTGGTGAAAATAGAATTTTGAAAAAAAAATCACTTCCGGGCCATGCTGTATAAACCATTCATTAATTAACCGAGTTGTTTGAACAGTTGCCAACATAAATTTGGAACTCGTATCGACTTTCCAGGTTGAACAAGAGACGCATTTAAATCTCGCTTGATACAATTCTCTATGTTTAAATGTGGCGCTGTAATCCGTTCAACCAATCCCCTCACTTCACATCACCGCCAACCAATCACTAACCGACCTGTCACTTTTGACATTTTTGGCACAAATGCACTTACATAACCTCATTTTTTTTACGAAAATACCTCAACGTAATGGTTACCCCACTCGAAAATGGATATCCCGTACGGTAAAGTCGCAATTTACGTCCTAACCTTCCTTGGTTATATATATTCGGGTTACGGTTCGGGCTTCTTGACTAACCTCCGAGACGCTGTTCTTTCTGCCGAGACAGTCTTCGGAGACGTCTTGCAAAACGTCCTAAAGGTTGCTAAAAATTTCCGAAACTTGCACGAGGTGTTTGATGCCGCTGTTGAAGAGCATTGTATCTACAAGTGCCCCACAGGTAAGGAAGGAGCCACTTTGGGTGAGAAAAAAATGTCATGGGTTGTTGTAGGTGCCCCACCGAAGCCAAACAGGAACCATGTACCATCGGCCGATGGGTGCGGGTCATTGGGGCTTAAAATAAACAGCGATTATTTGCCAGTGGGCGAAATGAAGAAATGTTGTGATATGCATGATATTTGTTATGATACTTGTAACAGTGATAAGGAGGTTTGTGATATGGAGTTTAAGAGGTGTTTGTACAAGTACTGTGATGGGTATGAGCAAGCTGTTGGTGGAGCGTCTGTTGTCAAAGGTAAAGGGTACAAATTGTGACAATAATAAAATGGTTTTTAGCGTGCAAGGGGGCTGCCAAGATGTTGTTCACGGGGACGTTGACTCTGGGGTGCAAGTCGTACATGGACGCCCAACGCAAGGCCTGCTATTGTCCCCCTGAATACGGCTGGAAAGACAAGAAGAACCGGAAGTATACCCGAGGCGATGAGCTATAGTTTAATTAAATTATTTTATTTTCGTTTGATTTTTATTCCAAAATTTCTTTCCAGTATTTAGTCCTATCTGCCAGTTTGTAACATTTTTTAATTTCTTTGACAAAAATCTTTCTTCCATTATCATGAGATCTCAATTTTCCCCAAATAAACACCTAAAACATATTCATAAGTTACCAAAAGTCACAAATATCCACTTTTACAGTATCTCCAAGTTGAAAGTTTTCATTAATCGTGGATTGAGTCCCACTTGGTGCCAGTTTAGTTTGTCTTGGTTCCAGATAACAGTCTATACAACTTGTACCATCTTCGACTAGAAATTTATTTAGTACACTTTCAGGGGACACAATTTCAAACTTACTTAAGTATTTTTTATAAGCCACATCGGTTTTTCCTGATATTTCCGTAATAGTTGCACAAACGTAAACTTCAACAAAATACTTTCCTTTGTGTAAGAAAATCTTGCCATGTTGTTCGGCCGATAATAATTCAATTATTGGTTTTTTCACCACTTGCAATTGGATTTGTTTTTTATCCATTTTTGACCGCCAAAAAGTTTAGGTTAGATAGAATAGGCAACCAATAAAACATTTTTAGATTTAAAAATGGTACGTATCAATTCCCGCAAAATCAATACTACCAACTAAATAAAACACCAGGTCATATTTCAAAAATCTAATTTATTTCAATTATTACACTCTCTCGATGACATATACTTTAACAAATCAACAACACGACACGCGTAGCCCCACTCGTTGTCATACCAAGCGATCAACTTGATGAAATTTCTAGTAAGGGCAACACCAGCCCCTGCATCAAAAATCGAAGACCTAGAGTCCCCAATGACGTCAGATGAGACAATTTGGTCGTCAGTGTAAGCCAAAATGCCGTTTAAATACCCATCGGCGGCTTCCTTAACTTTGCATTTGATCACGTCATAATCAGCAGGAGTGTCAATACTGTTTAAATTTAAAATTGAATTTGGGAATTTTTCTACTTACACAACGGTCAGATCCACCATTGAGGCATCCGCCACGGGGACTCGAGCCGCAATCCCGGTTAATTTCCCCTCCATGTCTGGGATTATCTTTGCGATGGCTTTAGCAGCGCCAGTGCTTGTGGGGATTATATTCTGCAAAGCCCCTCGCCCAATTCTGTAGTTTTTTTTCGCAGGACCGTCGAGAGTGTTTTGTGAGGGGGTTATAGCGTGGATCGTGGTCATAAGACCGCACTCAATCTTGAAATTATCATGAATGACTTTAACAAGCGGTGCGAGACAGTTAGTGGTGCAGGATGCGTTAGAGACGACTTTGAGTTCGTTACAGTAGTTGTCTTGGTTGACACCGAAGACAAACATGGGGATGTCGTCTTTGGAGGGGTAAGTGAGGACCACGCGTTCAACAGTGTCGTGAATAAGGGCCTGAAATATTCTCTTAAAATTTAAACACATTTGCATAAGAAATACCGAAGCTTTGTCGTAGCTTTTGTACAGTCCAGTCGCGTCGACGACGTATTTGGCGCAGCTTTTCGCCCAAGGGATCTTTTCGGGGTTTTTCTCATTCGTAATTGCAATTATTTGGCCTTGGAACTGTTAGTGTTTTTGACTGAATTGTTTCACTTACCATCAACTTTGAGACTGCTTCCTATGACACTAATCTCCCCCTGGAATAGCCCATGTGTGGAGTCATATTTGAGCAAATTAGCCATGTGGTCGGCTGAGAGATATGGATCATTGACAGCCACCACTTGAGGGGAGTCCCCAGAAGCCGCACATCGGGCCTTGTAAACTTTGATAAAATTTTACAACTTTGCACAATTGTTACTTACATCTCTTAGTTTTTGGAAACAACGACGTACTACCAAACGACCAATTCGTCCGAAACCATTTACTCCGATTTTGACCATAATGACTTTGAAATAAGGACACTTGGATTTTTTTAAATAATTGCATTGCGACCTTTGATTTGTTCAACCAAGAAAAACGAAAAACTTGTTTTAATACTTTAGTTCTTTATTCTATTATAAAATGTGTTTACATAAAGTTTGAAATAACAATAAAGAATATAATTTTTACAGCTTGAGAAAACAGTAAAACACTGTGAAAAATCAGTTGCATATATTTCATGCTTATTAAAAAGAAAATGTTACAACCAACATCACAATTTATACAGATTGAATAATAAAATTGCGACTCCCTTAATAATAATATCTAATGGAAATTCTCAATGATTCAAACCGTTTCATTACACAAAAAATCTACAAACAGTTAATTAAATTAATTCAAAAGAAAATAACTCGAAACCGAATTAAATAAACAGCTAGCATTCAGCATTTAGCGCGAATATATTCTAAATAGACAGACATGAACAAATATATATTTTATATATACAAAATGGTGTCACACAGCAGAAGACTTGTGCTTACACAAAGCAGCCGCACCTTACATTTATCGATTCCACTAACTTTAGAGAAATCACGATCAATTATTGGCAATACTGTAGAGCCGAAAAGTGGAAGGTTGTTAAATTAAGCTTCCTCATCAGTCTCTCAATTGTAAATTTTGATGGCTTTTTCCAAATAATTAAAACGTGACCTCTTTGGGGCCTTGTTCATATGATCCAAGCCCAACCACGGTTTCGGACTCCCCGCTGAAAAAATCACATTAACAACATACAAAACAACAATAAAACTAACCTTGATTAGGAAGTGGTCTAAAATCAGCTAAATTAACTACATACTCCTCGTCTTGTAAGACCTGTTGTCGGCCCATTGCGACGATAGAAAACTTGTACTTTTCAAATTCCTTATCAGGGACTCCGAGTCGCTTTTGAATACGTTCTTTCACTTTAGTAAATGGCTCACCTTGTTTGATTTTAAATAAGAAAGGTGAGCCAAAAGTCGAAAAGACTTCCTTTTGGAAATGCGCACAAGAAATAAGCATTTCATCTTCGTTTATTTGCAATTCATCTCTTGGTACTTCTTCAATTCTGTAAACTTTAGCTGCGTTTATTACCAAATGATCTAGCGGTGTATCTTCTTTGGGACCCAGTGCTACTTTATTACAACTAACTTCGGTAAACCTACATTAAACAATTAAAAGAAAATGTGTTTTTTATTAAACAACTAACCTTAATTTTCTTGTACTTCCTTCCCCAAACTCAATTTGTTTCTTTGCCTCCTCCAACAAATCACTTACCGTTCCTCTTTTATTCGGATACAAAATTAATTCCTTCTCTTCAAATACATTCGGACCCACATAAAGACATTTAAATTGTTTCTTATTTTCTAATTCGTTAACACGAATACTCAACTGTTGATAAAAGATTTTTTTAGGCGCCTTAGGCTTCGAAAAAACTAAAAGATCTTTCAAGGTGCCCTCAAAAGTGCACCTTAAAGGATGTCCAGGACTATCTTTGTAACTGGAAGATACGGAACTTTAATTAATTCGATTAGTTTATGCAATAATGTAGATAATACACGTACTTTTGACATTTGAAAAATTGTAATAAATAAGGATCAGTACCGACTCTTTGTGCTACAGCACGTGCTAACTGATCATAAGTCATCCTTTGCGATAATTCCATTGTAAAACCGGGATCATTCGGTGTACATTTGTCGACAAATGTTACCTCAACACGATAATATAAATCCTTGAAGTAGTCAATACAAGTCGGTAAGTCAGAAAATTCCTCGCGTTCTTCTTTCTCAAAAAGGATTATGTCGCCGTCCATCAACTCATCCAAAACCTTACAAAATCTCTGTTAAAATATATAAAGAACATTGAAAAAAAAATCAATTTTTTGACACTTCCATGTAAACCAGGCTTTAACGTCAAATTTGACATTTCAAAAACAAAGTGAGGTTATTAAGACCGATCACATGTAATGTCATATTTTGTTAAGTGAATTCAAAAAAAAATAATTACCTTCTCCAAGGGATCACTATAATTAGTGATTTTCTCGATCATATTAGGCCTAATTTCTTCATACAACACCAATTCTGTCTCTGACGGAAAACCAGCTCTTTCATTTAACATCGGTATCAAATCACCTAATTTACTAGTAACCGGTAAGTAACTATGTCCACAATAATGTATTTTCTTCTGTTTCGGATCATACATTTTGAAAAATAATAAAACATCAGTTTCTTTATCAAAATTAGGTAATGCAGTTAAACCAGAATCAGGTGGTAACAATTCTAAAAATATAGTCCAAGGATTTTGATTTTCAGCCGCATCTATAACAGCTTTATGCGATTCAGCTTCTAGATCTAACATACTAGGCCTCATTGTCTGATTTGATCTTTGACTAAATGGCCATGGTCGTATTTGTTCAGTTGGATATTTAAATGCATCAGCAAACATATCCATCATTTCGCTTACTAATGCCATCTTTTTGATTTTAAATACACGAAATAGTGGACGATCAGGATCATATAAATCGTTACCTTGATGTCCATCAAAACTATCTTCAAGTAGTACATTAATTGTCATATAAAGATGTGCTTCATTGCGTTCCTTTCGTCTCACTTGTTCCATTCGTTTTTCTTCGGCAAGTCGATCAGCTAATTCACTTGGTATATCAGCATCGGTTACTTCTTGCAATACATTATGTAATTCTGAATCTCTAATATACACCAACATGTAAGCATTTGTACAGTGTTTCACTGTCATATTCATATCCTCATCATGTCCACCATAATTATGTTCGATTGCCTCTTGTTTTGTACATTTAGAGACGACATCATCGTCGAATTTACACCATTTACCATCACCTCTTGGATTTATAAAAACAACATAATGGCCACCGTGATTGTCACCTGAATGTACCAAAACAGCATGTAGAGTATAATTGGCTGGATTATTTGGATCCGGATCTTGTAAATAAGCATCTAGAGAAATCTTCTCGTAAAATTCAAATCTATCATTGAATTTAACAGAACAATCGGTAATTGGATCGTATTGAAAACGCATTAAATGCAAGTGCAAAACTGGAGGAAAAGCCGAAAAAATCACTCCTTTTTCAGCATCTTGCAATCCATGTTCACCAGCATCGTATTTATTATCACCATCTAGAGTCTCCTTTGCAATGTAATCCTTAAATGACTCATCGACTGAAATCAACTATGAGTTTACTTCTTCCATTTATTTACATGAGACACTTACTATTTTTCTTTCCTTTGATATTCAATTGAATATCGTAAAAAGTCTCCGAACGTGTACTCGAATAATCCACGTTTTTACATCGAATATACGAAATCATTTTACCTTCGAAAAGTTTCGGAACGGTGCCCTCCACACAAGTCCCTTTCATCTTACTTTCAAGTTTATCTAAAAGTACCTAAACATCGCATAAATTGTGTTTTTATTTAGTATAGTATTTTTCGAAAAATTACCCTGAGAAATTCCTGTACATCATGTTGCATAAATGAATCTAAAGTCTCCCAACCGAAACTTTTCGTTAACTTCTTCGTACCAACTGGTTTATCGCAGAATTGTAATTCATGAAATACTCGCTGAAGAGCTAATGCTACAGATTTCGTTGAATCATCCGATTCAGTTGGCATTTTATAAACAGCTTTTCGTAATTGATTTGTAAAATATAAAGTTTGTAGTAGAGAATTCATGTAACAAGTTGCTCCTTGATTTTTTAAACCCACGTAACCTAAGAAAATAATTCCAAGATTATAGATAAAAAGCGCAAGTTTTAATTATTACATAAAACGCAAAGAGAAACTTTTCGTGTTTGTGAATATGCAAAAAACTGTTTTAAACTTTGCAGAACGCGAGGTGTGTCATAACTTTAAAAAAAAAATCGATCAGAGAGAGAGAAACAACGTCTTTTTTTAAATACAACTAACAACTTTTGTTGACACAGGGTGTCCCAAGTTTTAGGGCCGGTGCAAAAATAAATACAGTGCGATCAAAAAGTCTTTCTATCAAGTAGGCGTCCTAGTTAAGGACGTATGTTGCATGGCAGTTCGTATGTTATCTAGATGTCAAAAAATTATTTTATAAAAATTAAAACATTGACCTAATTAAATTGAATTACTCTATGAAACGTCTCAAAACAAACTAAAATAAGATTTCATTGGTGTTTATTCATAAAAATCGTTCCTGTCATAATTTAAATAAAAAATATTTTGACATTTCTCATTTGTCATTGTGACATTTTATCTTTCACAGACATACGTTTTAAACTTCCACGCTTGCTTGATAGACAGACTTTTTTTTTTTAAAAAGAATTTTGATAGTGTAAACGTCATTTGATGTTTTAATATTGTTGTACAAAATTTTTAGAGAAAAAATTCAATTAACTGGAATATTTTCTACATGATAAAATTTTTTTTTAATTTTTTTTCTGTGGTATTTGTGAAAACAGAATAATGATAAAGTTGATAGGTTTTAAATAATTAACATTATAATATTGATAATCTGAAACTTGGAAACATTTTGGTAATTGGTAATCAGACAATCATCCCAAATTGGGCCATAAATTAATAGAATTTCCAATTTTCAATATTAAAATATTAATTACTCAAAATCTATCGACATTTATGATATTATTACCATTAGAAAAAAATCACGGAATTTTATCATGTAGAAAAGATTCCAATTAATTAAATTTTTTTTTCCAAATTTGGTTTTTGAGTCTCACTGACATACACTAAAAATTTTGAAGAATATTAAAGCATTAAACTCAAGTCTATACAAGGTGCGCCACAACTCGCGCCCCAGAAAAAAAATGCCATATAAGGTAAGATGCCAGAAACATGAAAAAAAAATTAAAAAAAAATTATCTATAAAACTTTCGAAGTTATGAGAGTTTAAATTTTGCACTGTGACTCTTTTTTTTCTGTTGGAAAAATAATTTTCCAAGTTTTTTTTGTTACAGTCTATTACAAGAGGAAACAAAGAAGCTGTATCCTAAATTTTAACTCTGTTCAATTTTATTTGTGGCTTTTATTGGCAAAATTTTTGTTCCTTTACTACCTAATTATAAAAAAAACATATACAAGATCATCAGTATTATTAAATAGACATAAAAAAAATGTCAAATGTCAAAAAATAAAAGTCAAAATTTTTTGACAGATAGAATTTTTTAAACATTTTTTTCTTGTTCCTGGTATCTTATCTTACTTGAAATTTTTATCTGGGGCGCGAGTTATGGCGCACCCTCTATGGCTTGCACTAGAATTTTTTTTAATCAATTAGAAACATTTATTTTTGCGACGTCCTTAAAACTTGAGACACCCTGTATACACTGTACATGGTTTTAATTATTGATTTTATTAAATTTAAATCAGATCTGTCAATAAACAAAATAAATTTAAAAATGTATTATTATTAATTATGACAAATTCTAGTTTTTTCAATGAAAAACTGCAAAAAACTTATTACTTTATAACACCATTTCTAATCTTATCAAAGCCAAATTCATTTAATCTAAAAGTGAAATCTTAACACGACTTTATTCATCACAGTACGCAGTTATAATAAACAATGCTGCCACTCTATTTTCAAGCAAGAAGAAAATTTTATTCAACACATTGTGTCGTTATCATTTATTTTGTTTAGGTGTTGACCGTCCATGCGTTACATTATCTTATATCACACAAGTCACACGACTTGGATTTTTATTACACAATATTTTATATAATGTTTATTAAAAGGAACGATTACATTAAAAAAACTTATAATTTTAGTTGTTCAGTTGGCTGTGACAATAATATTAATAATTTGTTAAATATAAAATTCTAATTATAAGCATTTAGCATGACTAAATATGTAAATAAAATCACAAAGAACGTTGTTTTCGTGATTAAGCAACTCAGTGTTCTAATTTTATCATCTGGGGAAGTGTAAAGTCATTTGCAAAAATTTAGTAATTTTATCTGTCAAATAATTAAATCAAATATGGTTTCCCATTCATCATTCAAGGTCACTTGACCAATTAAATAGACAATAAAATAAAATTACCTGTATGTTTTTTACTATCCCATGATACACCATGTGGGGCATCAGCCACGACATGTACTTCCAAAGTAATAGCATCATCTTTAATATAGCCTTTCTCTTGGTCTAAAACCTCATTCCATGCCATAAAATGTGAAAATCCCCAATCATTTTCCTGGACGACAGTTTCGATTAAATCAAGTCGCATAAAAGTGATTTTTTTTACCTTTGAGTAAAACAAATGTTGTATTTTTCGTGAGAAAGGTTCAACATCGGGTCGAACAGACAAGAGTCTTAATTCGGCAACGGCATAACAAGACCACGAAGAGGATTCACTTTCGCCGTTACATTGAAGAAAAAAGCCCAAGGAACGTTGCGCAGTCCGGTCCTGTCCGTGACTGTTCCTCGGCATTACCATAATTTTCCACGGGAGGTTCCGCACGTAACATGCAGGAGACAGGGCAGAGTCTTTCAGTTTGCTAAATTGTTGAACAGTGTAGCGAAAAGTGGCCTCTGAGCGTGATTCGTCCTCCTCCATATCGGCGTCTTGGACTGTCATTCCAGGATCGGGTTGGGGCCCAATGATGACTTCACCGTTTTGTTGGTCCATTTCGGCGGCGCCGGTGTCCGTAGAATCAGTAGTGGTGACTGATAAGGTCAAGTGAAACATTGACAGGGGGGCTGACACACACTTACCTTCCTGTGTCTCCATTTCCTCCACCTCGCCGCCGGAGGTGTCGTCGTTACGTCTGTATTGGCCCGTGACGTGGTTCATATTAAGCGCTGGCGTCTTGGCAGCCCCCGTCCTGTCTTTCGCAAAACCGAACACACCTTTGTTCTTTTTGGTATTCAAGAGGTCTTTGTCCGACTGTGCAACGCAACAGTGATTATTCTGATTATTTTTAGTGCCGGAGACCGTGGTCAATTTGACGAAGTGCTTACTCGTAACGCGACCAATTCTTGCTGGTTTTTGTACCCTCTGAGAGAGGGCTGCACACAACACACATATATAGAGTGAGAGTTGTTGGATGAGTTGTGACACGTGACGGACTTTTCACACTCAAAACACTCACTCGATTTTATTATTTCGATTCGTTTAATGAGCTTTTCACTGACAAAAATAAACAAAATGGAGGCATTTTCTTCGCACTCAAATCGCGATGGTGGGCACAACACTCGACAACCAACACCGGTTTCTGCAATCGACTGCGCGGATGCGTACGCACGAAATGGGGGCCCAGATACGAATTTTCCCGCGCAAACCCTCAAAAAACTAAATTACGCTATTCTCACACAAATTTGACAATCTACAACAATTTCAATCGAAAATCAACACACAACTGTCACTTTTTCTTAATTAATTAGGCAACCACTTATACACATTTTTTATTTCAAATTCTTTTTAAAAAAAAAACACACACAATTAACAGTTACTACTTGTAGTGACAAGTGGACTGCCACAATCAATAATTCTAATAAAATTATTTTTAATTTGGATTTTTTGTGGTGGTTTGGGTCTCGGCTCGGCCTAGCCGGTGTCGCCTCATGACGGTGGAAAGTCACACTAGTGGTGGTCCCCCGACGCGTGCGCTTTTCCGGCGAATTTCACGAATCCATTGAAGTCTTCTGTAGACTTTCCCGATGATATGTGGTGTGTGTTGTAAATTTCCTCGTTTACTTCATGTTTTGTGTTGGAATTAACTTTAGTTTGGTGTTTTGTTCGATTTGGAAGTGAAGCGACCACTCTCTGCAATAGCTGTACACGATGTAAGTGTTGATTTAAGGAAATAACTTGATGCAAACAATGTTCCCCCGAAATCGATTGTACGGTTGTTTGTCACGGTCATTCTTGCCGAATTTTCCGGTTTTTCGTGGAAAAACGTCGTAGTGAGAGTAGATCGGAGGCGGCGTGTCACAATCGACAAATGATTGATCGAGTGATCGGCTGTCAATTTGTGTGTTTTTTGGAGGTTAGGTGGATTTATTAACCTAATCACGCCCTAGTTGGGGTGAACTATTGGTGCAGTACAACCTCCAGGTTGGTGGATATTCCAAAACTGCGCAAAATTTCATTGAGGATTTGTAGTGGTTTTTGGCCGAGTTCCAATCGCCTATATCTCACGTCGACATGAAATTTCGTGTTCCAATCAATAAAAATGCACCTTGTGTGTTTCTCGAAAAGAGGGGACCAAGGAAAACCACCACTTGTTAGTTTGCGAAGAGTTCCCCTCGTGTGGGAATGTTTTTGGATGTTGGCTATTAGCCCCCGGGTGTCACAACCCCAGATAACTCTACACTTTGACACATTTATTTAAACAAGTGATTCATAATGAATCATACACTTTTTGTGATTGTTCTCCAGTTATCACACGACTTCTTGTGATAACTCGAACCACGTGCGAGAAGGTAAACATTGCCAAGTATTGATTTGTCGAAATTTCGAGTAGGAAAATTTTTGTTTTTTCGGTGGTGTGTTATTTCGCCAGAGGCACGCAGCAGGGCCGTATTCTCAATGAGGGACGCTCGGAGATCGATAAATAAACCACGCCCGCCCACTATCCAAACCATAGTTCCATAATAAAGAGGCACCCACTGTCTATATTAACATTCCGACTTAATGAACTTTCACTCACATAACTCAAGAGGAAATTCAATTATGATCAAAGATGTTTACACAAGAATTGGACAGGTGCGAGCGAAACAAAACGTCAAGATATCGGTTTGAATCCTCGTCATCGGGATACCTCCTGAATCTTTGATTTTATAAAAGGACTAACTGATCAAATGTGACCTATTGATAGTTTTAAGGCAGGGGACGAGTAAATAACCCCAAAGCTAAAAAAGTTAATTATTATTATCACTTTCATCACATTGTATAGGGTTTTTTAGCAAAAGTTTGTCCATTTTTGTGAATATTTTTAAGTTTTATAGTCGGTTTTTCCAGTCCTGAAGTTTCCAGACTCTCCGAAAAGCCAATTCCCAAAGTTTGCAAACCTGAATAAGTCACTTGATTCTAATACAGGGTGTTTCACGTAATTTTAGGAGGCCTGCGCCTGTAAGATGCAATCAATAATACATATTTCGATACGAACTCGATCACAAATTTTGAAATTTTGAAAATTGGATAATTTTCTCTAGTTTGTTCACCCTTTCAAAAATTACAACGTTTTTAGTTAGTTAGTGATTAAGACAGATAAACTACAATCGTATTCTTGATAGAACAAATGATAATTGTTTCTGAAAAACTGCAGTTTATGACTATTAATGAAACAGTGATTAGTTTGACAACTGCTGTCATGGGTTTCCAAAAATTAAATAGTTAGTTAGTGTATCCAGTGTTCTGTGACTTTTGTATATTTGGGTGCATACATTAGCCTCGTGAAGTTATGTGAAACACCCTGTATATCCTCTTTCCTCAATGAATTCTGTTGGTGTTTTTGGCAAGAGCATTTTAATTTCATTCATAAAAAAATCGGCGCCTATTTTAGAACATTTTCTGGCATCGAATTTTCATTCATGAATCAAGCGACGTCTCGACTTTTCTAATCAAATTACATGCACGTTAATTACCGTAAAATTTACCAAACTTGTGTTGAGTTTGTTTTAGTGTCAAATGTCCAATTGTTTAATTGTGTTTGCAATCTGGACGCTGAATAACCGACATGTGAATAATTTCTTCGAAATTTGGCTTACTTTAAACTTGATTGGTTGTTTCTGACGTCATTAATATTGTTAGAAAAATTGATTTTCGCTCGCATGGTAAAGAGGTCGGTATCGATTTACGATTTGTTGGACATGGTTGTCCATGTTTGTCAAAGTTGGAATATCTGCCTTCCATTACCGTAATAACTCGTAATCTCTTTCGGAGAGAGGAGTGGTGTATAAAGTGACATTTTGATAGTCAGGAAAGGGTTGATGGTGCGCACAGCACGTACTTTAATTAATAATCTGTCGAGGGGCGAGTCAAAGCAACGAAATATGCAAAAAAGTGTTTTTATATTAATTGAATTTCGCAGACGGAGAAATCTTATTTCGTGTAATTATTTTTTCTCAAGGGAGACGACGCGACGGTCAGTGTTACAATAAAACTACACTTATTTCACGGATTAACGTCGCTATCTGCTCGAAGATAAGAAAGATTTATCGACCAAAGCACAGTGTAATAACTTTACTCTAATTCGTCGCATTTTTTTTCTGTTACAGATGAAATAACAGCAAAGTTTCACCAACGACAAGACTAAAGACGACATTAAGGTAAGGGGATTTGAGGTGTCGCTTTGTATTATCAATTCAATTTTTTTTGTAAAATCGATAAACTAAATTTGATAATTTAAACAATTTCGCGCCCCAATACCAACAATAAGAATAAATTGTGCTCAAGTTACATGTCTAAGGCTCGGATTATATGCAAAATGCTCCGATTACAAAATATTTTAAAGAGAAAACAACCGGTAATTCGTAATCCAGACTCAAAAAAATTAGTACATATCCTGCTGAGTGTTTCCGTTTTAAATTCGTTTTATAAGGTATCAAAACAAGCGTGTTTTTTTTAATCATTTGTTTTCAAAAAAATTATAATTAATATAAATTAAAGGAATATAAAAAAATAAGAACAAAATTTTGCTTTGTTTTCGAGTTGTTCGATTTTTGTTGGCAAAATTGCAATTTATATAAAAAAATTATTTAATATGAAGTAGATAGTAGTTGTAATCCTTTAGATCATGACTTTTATGAGAAAAATGTTTTATTTGGTAGATTGCCATTAAAAAAAATAAATGATCTGAAAAGTACAGATTTCTTAGAAAGGCTATTAAAATGGCTTGTCTGAGGCAAAACCAATTTATTTATTCTCTTTCGTTCATCCTGTGCAGTTCAAGAAGCCAAAAATGCAAAGTTTAGTCTACTCGAGGATAAAAATTTATCCCAACTTTGATTTTTTGTTGTTAAAAGTTATGCATATTTGGCATATATTGGAGCATATTTTTTTTTAATATCTTGTGCATATTTTTGTGAAAATTCGTGCATATACAGAGTGTTCGGTCCAAGTCGCCCCGGCCGATAACACCTAAATTTACTTTTTTTTTTCGAAAACTAAATTATTCAATAATGCTATTCATTCCTCGCTTTCTTAGTAAATGCATCAAATTTTTTTGGCACATCCGGTATAACCGGAAATGCTACCAAACTTAGTTTTTCAAGTGGATCACCTATGTTTTTTTGCTCAAAACAATAATAATTGGTATGAAAACTACGGTAAACCACTATTTATTACATTTTACTTTACATAATGCAGTCAGAAAACAATTTAAATTTTTGAATTTTATTGCAAATTTTACAACGTAGGCGGATTTTACTTGTCAAGGTATTCATGCAAAAAGCAATATGCTTGGATACCGTTTAATTGTTAAAAAAAAGTCTAATTTGTCAATAAATCTTATTGAGATCTTTAATAATATTAATTACGACGAATTGGTAGATTAGCTTCAAGTGTTTTTTAAGTGGAATAAAAATAGAGCGGAAGCTGAAAGACAGTATAGAGAAAAATACTCAAATAGAGTTCACCCAAATCGTTGGAAATTTAGTCGAATTGAAAAACAACTGAGACGAATGGTTCGCTTCTTAAAAATAAAAAACCTGTGGTTCTTTGTGAAGAACAAGAAAATAGAAATCTGAATGTTCTGTTATCAGTCGAAGAAAATTCAAGAGTTTTCATATGATCAAATGACAAATTATATTTGTCAAACCAACAATTAAACTTTATTTTTTATTCACACCTTTCCTTTAAAATTAAAAATCAGGCTACGCGACCAATTTCCTTATAAAATTCTAAGATTTAAGATGTTTTTTAATTGCATAGTGTTACGCAAAATGTAATAAATAGTGGTTTACAGTATTTTTCATGTCAATTATTATTGTTTGGAGGGAAAAAAACATAGGTGTTCCATTTGAAAAACTAAATTTGGTAGCATTTCCGGCAACACCGGATGTGCTAAAAAAATTTGATACATTTATTAAGAAAGCGAAGAATGAATATTATTACTTAAATATTTACTTTTTGAAAAAATGAAGTAAGTTTAGATGTTATCAGCCGGGGCGACTTGGACCGAACACTCTGTATATGCGCATATTTTACGAATTTTTCGTGCATATAATCCGAGCCTTACACATGTCTATCAAGATTAATAGTCGTCATTAATTAGAATGACACTACAACAGCAGCGTTTACCAATGATTAATTACAATTTTGATAAGGAAGAGTGAAGCCAAATCGATCTCAGTGTGCCTTAGTGAATCTAGTGAAAATTACAGTAAAGTGTTTAACAAATTGGTACTCATTAGTAAAGCCAATATTTAGGGCCGAGTCAAGTCACAACTAGAATATATCATGAAAATCCCACCCTATGTTTTCCTATCATCTCGAACAAAGGGTCAAACCTCTGATAAATTTCTACTACTAAAGAAAATTAACATTGTTTATGAGGGAGGCAGAAATCAATAATAGAATTTTTTAGATGAAATGTGGTGCGATCCTGTTAATAATTTCCACATTGATTGGAATTTACATCGGGATTTTGACTCGAAGACTTTCAAATCTGTTTGATTCGAGCAAATGTCCGTTCTGTTACGGCAGTGATCTATGCGAGGATATCGCCAGAATCAAGCTCCAATATAAAACTTTCAACAACTTGTTTTCTAATTTATTCAGTGTGAAAAATATTTTTTTTGCTGAATTTGACGAAAAAAGAGTCGTCTTGAAAAAGTTGGGCCATGACAATGAACTTGAACAAATCAAATCTGATTTTATCAATGAAGATTCACTCTTGGATTATTTAAATAACAGTGCGAGTGGTTTGAAACTTTGTGATCGTGATGTTTCGAAAAGGTTAGTTAAAAGATTGAGAAATTATTATGACTTGAAACAAATTTGGACGATTATTCAAGTCAATTGTGAGCCTTTGATGTTGACAATTTTAAATGGTGGATGGCCGGTCCCGAAATTGTATGGAAGTTGTGGTTTTGTAATTGTCGAGGAGGATTGTGGTCAACCACTCAATCACTTTGAAACGTCACCATGGCACGTGCGTGCTTTTTTAGCTTTGCAATTGTTGGAAGCTGCTATTGATTTTACACACAATCATCACGATTTCAGGATGTATTTGACAGATATCTCGCCTGATAACATCGCAGTCGATCATAATTTTAGACTGACTTTTGTTGACTTGGAACATGTTATTTTGCAACACAAAGGTTAATTTATTAATAAGAATTGCGACAAAATTTGATTAATTAAATTCTAGAGGATCAAACGACTAGTGTTCATTCTAGTCAATTTTTCCCTGATGATGATTTTATCTTTAGTGAGGCTGAAATCTGTGCAAATTCTTTAAGTGACCACAATATTTATGCCGTGTGTCGAGTGAGTTTGAAACTTGGGAGTTTTACAATCGTAACATTTTTGTTTTAGTTGTTGTTGAGTCGTAAAGCTCCTTGGCCCATGATGGCAAATGGCCTTCTCCATTCACCGCCTCCAACAATCGCTCGATATAACGAACTTTTCGCACTGGTTGAAGACTGTGTCGAGTCAAAGGACCGCTTTCATATCGCTGATAAACTTATAAATCTTTTAAAAAACATTAATAAAGATACTGTTTTCTGAGTCGGATTAATTCTATTAGGGAGATTAATTCATGTGTGTGCAAATCTAAGCTACGGTGCGAGATTTTGGAAGCGATTTATATTTAGATAATTACGAAGCTCGAAGATGATTAGATTTTATTTTAGGATTGGAAGGGATGGAATTAAGTGGAAGGGTGGGTTTAATTAGGCACGTATGTGTTGACATGGCAATGAAACGAGTGGAACAGCTCTATCTGTGACCGCTGATAAAAGGGGATCTTGTTTGGAGAAGCTAAATGTATTTTTTCTCACTCACTTTTTAATTTTTTTCTCAGTGAAAAATTTTTGAAATTGAACGAATTTCCTGCTCTGTTTTAGCAAAATTTCGCGAGTTTTCTGTCTTGTTTTGGCGAAATCTCTCAAGTTTAGTGGAGTTTCTTTGTTAAAAAGTGCTCTAAATCGAAAAAAATTAGCAAAAACGATAGACATAATTTTTGCGATTTTGTGTTTTCTTGTGGCCAAATTTTCTACATTTAGTGAGTTTCTCGATGAAAACCTCTTTATATTAGGCCAATCATTAATTTTTGTAAATTTCTTGTTGATATACATTCTAGTAAAAGTGAAAATAATGCATTTCACACCTAATTTCAGGCGAATTTTTTCGAATTGAGTGAGTTTTTCAGTGAAAAACCTTTTAAATCGAACGAAACAGCAGAAAATAACGCATTTCAAAAATAAATTTAAAAAGCACTGCTTTTTTTGATCATTTTAAAAATAATTTTACTTCATAATAATAAAGTCTAGTTTACAAAACGTCATTTTCCGTCATTTGTTGTCTTATTTGGGCGGCATTGATTGAATTTTGTGAGTAAAAGGTGAAAAACTTTTTACATTGAGCAAGCCAAAATAACACATTTCAGATCAACTTTTATGAATTTTTTGCTTTGTTTTAGTTAAATTTTTCAAATTCAGAAACACATAAAAGTATTGCAGTTTAAACGTTATTCAACGATTTTTTACAAACAAGCAAAAATAACACATTTCAGAACAAATTTTATGAATTTTCTGCTCTGCTTTAGCAAAATTTCTCGAATTTTTTGTCTCGTTTTAGCGAAATCTCTCGTATTTAGTGGAATTTCTTGCTATAAATCGAAAAAAATTAGCTAAAACGGTGTATTTTAGACGTAATTTTTCCGATTTTGTGCTTTCTTTTGTCCAAATTTTCTAAATTTAGTGAGTTTTTCGATGAAAACCTCTTTATATTAGGCCAGTCATTATTTTTTGGAAATTTCTTGTTAATGTACACTAATAAATCATGTGAAAATAATGCATTTCAAACCTAATTTTTTGAATTTTATGCCTTGTTCAGGTGAATTTTTTTGAATTGAGTGCTTTTTTTAAATTGAACAAAACAGCAGAAAATAACTCATTCCAAAAATAAATTTTTGAACACCGCTGTCAAAATGACATTTCGCGACCGCAACAGTCAACTGCGAAATTATGAAAAAAGCACTGCTTTTTTTGATCATTTTAAAAATAATTTTACCTGATAATAATAAAGTCTGATTTACAAATAGTTATTTATTATACAAGACGATAAAATTAAATTTTATAATAATGAAAATTTTATCGTCATTTACAATATAAAATTTTATTCAATCCTCACTAATTTTGTAGTCAATTTGGTCGATATTTATAAATGTCAAAGTAAAATTCAACAATGAAATCTAATGTCAAAGATCGTTAGCAACTAACAACCGCAAATATACAACAATAGGACGGCATTGTTTAAATTTTGTGAGTAAAAGGTGAAATTTTTTTATATTGAGCAAAACAAGCCACAATAACACATTTAAGATCAAATTTTTATGAATTTTTTACTTGGTTTTAGTTAAATTTTTCAAATTCAGAAATAGTATTGTAGTTCAAACATTATTTAACGATTTTTTAGAAACAAGCAAAAATAACACACATTTCAGAACAAATTTTCTGCTCTTCTTTAGCAAAATTTCCCGAATTTTTTTTCTCGTTTTGGCGAAATCTCTCGAATTTAGTGGATTTTTTTGGTTTATAAAAAGTGCTGCTCTAAATCGAAAAAAAATAGCAAAAATGATGTATTTTAGACATAATTTTTGTGATTTTTTGTTTTCTCTTGGCGAAATTTAATTAGTTTCTCGATGAAAACCGCGTTATATAAGCCAATCATGAATATAAACTTAATTTTTGAAAATTTATTGTTAATATACCTACACTAATAAATCAAGTGAAAATAATCCATTTCACACTTAATTTTTGCGAATTGAGTGAGTTTTTCAGTGAAAAACTTTTTAAATCGAACGAAACAGCAGAAAATAACGCATTTCAAAAATAAATTCTGGTTTACAAAACGTCATTTTCCATCATTTTTTGGGCGGCATTGTTTGAATTTTGTGAGTAAAAGGTGAAAAACTTTTTAAATTGAGCAAAACAAGCCAAAATAACACATTTAAGATCAACTTTTATGAATTTTCTGCTTTGTTTTAGTAAAATTTCTCAAATTCAGTAACAGATAAAAGTATTGCAGTTCAAACATAATTTAACGATTTTTTACAAACAAGCAAAAATAACACATTTCAGAACAAATTTTACGAATTTTCTGCTCTGCTTTAGCAAAATTTCTCGAATTTTTTGTCTCGTTTTAGCGAAATCTTTCGTATTTAGTGGAATTTCTTGCTTTAAATCGAAAAAAATTAGCAAAAACGGTGTATTTTAGACGTAATTTTTCCGATTTTGTGCTTTCTTTTCCGTCATTTTTTGCCTTATTTGGGCGGCATTGTTTGAATTTTGTGAATAAAAGGCGAAAAATTGTTTATATTGAGCAAAACAAGCCAAAATACACATTTAAGATCAACTTTTATGAATTTTTTGCTTGGTTTTAGTTAAATTTTTCAAATTCAGAAACAGTATTGCGTTCAAACATTTTTAACGATTTTTTAGAAACAAGCAAAAATAACACACATTTCAGCACAAATTTTACGAATTTTCTGCTCTGCTTTAGCAAAATTTCTCAATTTTTTTTTCTTGTTTGGGCGAAATCTCTCGAATTTAATGGAATTTTTTGGTTGAAAAGAAGTGCTCTAAATAGAAAAAAAATAGCAAAAATGATGTATTTTAGACATAATTTTTGTGATTTTGTGAGTTTCTCGATGAAAACTGCTTTATATTAGGCCAATCATGAATATAAACTTAATTTTTGTAAATTTCTTGTTGATATACACTCTAATAAATTAAGTTATTTTTTTTAATTTCATGTCTTGTTCAAGCGAATTTTTGCGAATTGAGTGCGTTTTTCATTGAAAAACTTTTTAAATCGAACGAAACAGCAGAAAATAACGCATTTCAAAAATAATTTTTTCAACTCACCGCCGTCAAAATCACATTTCGCGACAGCAACAGTCAACTGCAAAATCATGAAAAAAGCACTGCTTTTTTTGATCATTTTAAAAATAATTTTTCCTGATAATAATAAAGTCTGGTTTACAAAACGTCATTTTCCGTTATTTTTTGTCTTATTTGGGCGGCATTCTTTGAATTTCGTGAATAAAAGGTGAAAAACTTTTTAAATTGAGCAAAACATGCCAAAATAACACATTTAAGATCAACTTTTATGAATTTTCTGCTTTGTTTTAGTAAAATTTCTCAAATTCAGTAACAGATAAAAGTATTGCAGTTCAAACATAATTTAACGATTTTTTACAAACAAGCAAAAATAACATTACGAATTTTCGACACTAAAATATGAAACATCGGTTTTATTTCATAAAATTAAATCAGAATTTTTTTCATTGATCAAAGTCTTGGCAAAACTTTTTTCAAGAACATTTCTCTTGCTTTTCGTAAAAAATTCATGGTCGTTTATAAAGGTGAATAATGCGGTTTTGTGCCAATTTAACTTTCCCTCATTTCTTTACAACCGCACGTCCATAAATAGAACAAACATTTCAATTACTTTGCTAATGATCAAAATTCGAGATGTGTGCGTGAGAGGGTCTAATTTTCTCGTATTAAAATTTCATCACATTTGCATAGATCGGCTTTTTTATCGATTTTTCAGAGCTGCGGCGTCTAAAATTTCGAGAGCCGTCTTTAAACAAACAAAAGCACTAAGAAAAGAGTTTTTTTTTTGAATAAAGAAAATCAGTAATTTAAGAATTATTGCAATTTCCCCAAATTGGGCTAGAGGCCGTTTCATCATCAGTGCTGGTAGTGGGGTGCAACAATATCGACCACTGGGTGGCGCTTGCGTGCTCCCCTTTACCGGTTAGTGAACCGGAACCCCTCGTATGAAGCCGACTTCACACTAGAATTCGCCACCGAGGAGTGAAGAATTGGTGGAGGCGCTGGACCCCAACTGACAATTAATCTAGGTGTGTGTGTGCACACGTGACCCGCATTTGGGGTTTTTTCACGTGTAAATCGGACATGACTAATTTTCAACAGCTCGATGGAATTTTTAATACGACAGTAAATGGATTTATTTAGGAATGTGTGGGAGTGGAACTGGAGGATTTCTCACTGACACCTGTCTGTTCCGGGAGGTTTTATCGGGAGTACAATTGGAGACGGGAGATAAATTTCTCCAGAGGATATTAAAAATAGATTTCGAAATTTATTAAAAAAAAAATAGATCGTAAAACTTTCGTCAAGGTTTTTGCTGTTCACAAAAATAAGGAAATAAGCCAAAATGGAGTAAATTAAACGGGTTCTCCCATAAAATTCTCATACTTTCACATATTTCTTAAATGGTAATAAAACAAGAGAATATTGTTACGACCCTAGCTTTAATAAAATTAGGGAATTTCATTTAAGACACTACCGACAAATGTTACTTGCAAAAGAAATTTAAAAAGGAGGATGAAACGTTTTTTTCTTTTTTGCTTAAGAGAAATTCCGCTTGATTTTCATTCATACCAAATTAATTTTTATACAAAAAACATTTTAAATTTTCTCCTAGTCGTCCATTCCAAAGAATTGAATGTGGTACGAAAAAAGCTGATTCGG